TAAAATGTTGCTGCCTTTAACTTACCTATAACCCCTAAACGTACTCCATTAAGAAACATTAGCGAGGCCGTGTCATTGTTCAAAAACCTAGTTAGCTAGCTGCTACGCTATCGTCAGCAGGACATTGAGACCAGCTAGCATTTGAGTGTGCATGACAACACATGTTTAGCCCGCAGCTAGTAGCATGTGCCCCAATAAACTGATTTGCCCGTGATTGATGCCGCAAGGAGCCCGGAACACAAGACGTCAACGGGGGATTCCAGGCTATGAACATATATTAAAAAATACTAGCGTGTGTTTGTTTAGACTGAGTTCTACTTGAAGGCAACACAAATAACTGCTGGCGGTAAAGCTGGAATAATAAGATGGAAAACAACATTTCCACCTTTTTAGATCAAGTGAAAACACAGCCATAAAGATTGTTGCAGCAGATTTTGTGTGTGTGTGTCTGTTTGTGTGTGCACATGAACGAGGTTAAGAGAGTGTACTTTGTGCGTCTGTGTTACACTGCGGCCCGGCCACAGAGCTTCTTTGTGAGGCTTTGTGAAGAAGGGGAAAAAAACCCAAACCAGACAACAGTTCAGAACCATTCATTCTTCTTCATTCTAATGCTTAACTGACTTTATATGTTCTCAACTCGGCCAACTAATAAAAGAGATTAAGACGGCCACACAACCTCTCCTTGATAATCTATTTTCGGAGCTGTGCCAAAGAACCTCGCAAAGCTTTGGGGCCGGACCCGGTCAGCATGAATGCCGCCCTCTGTCCCCCTTTAAAAACAGTCCCAACAGAGGTCCCGCCTGAAGGCCACGCCACACCCAGAACCAGAGCCGCGGCCCGCAGAGGACACAACCGCGCTCTGTTCCGAAAGCAGCGGCTTTAGCTCTTTTTCAGGATGGGAGCAGGAAAAGATGCACAATAGATGGACATAACTAAATCAAGAATAAATAACATCCAAGGGAGCTTTCATATCATTTTTGTAAAACTAAAAAAGGTTAAAGTACACACACTGGAAGCAAAGTTTGGCAATCTGATTAATTTGACGCTAAGGATTTGAGTTCAGCTGGTTGAAGCTCTGTATTAGGAATGCAAATCATAAGGTTTGTATATATATATATATGTATATATATATATACATATATATATATAAAGAAAATTAAACCTTGGCTTGATCTGCAATAGTTAATACTCCACTGGAGAAACAGAAGCGCATATATACCCTCACAGACAGGAAATATGCTACAACTATCATCATGACCACTAATGTGCAGCATTAAAAATACACTGTGCCTTCAAACACACACACACACACACACACACACACACACACACACACACACACACACACACACACACACACACACACACACACACACACACACACACACACACACACACACACACACACACACACACACAGCTGTTCAGGCTTAATCTGCTCACCAGATACTGAAATCAAAGTCTGAAGCCTGTCTAGACGTTGGCCTCCTCCTACACAATCTACTGCAGCAGAACCATGACAGAGACTTTGATCGAGCTCTTCCCGAGAGAGCTGTGAAATGAGAAATGGCACTATTGGAATTCCTGTTCTTAGTTCAAACATAGTCGATGTTCATGGGACGACACACACACACACACACACACACACACACACGCTGCTGGGATTACATCTCGTACTGAAGTCAAGGGGGCAGGGAGGAGGCGTGAAGGTAAGGGATGGGCGGGGGAGGAAAGGGACAAAGGGAAGTCCCAGAAAACGTCCTCAACAGTGTAGCTCCGACGGTTCAAGGAGGTTAATGAATTAGTCATCTCTTGACACCAGAAGAGCCTGGGGGAGGGAAGGAAGAGGGGGAGACATTATTGAATTGGGAGCCCTGGCTGACCTGCCAGACACTAAATGAAATATAGAGCTTTTATAAAAGAGATGTCTATGAACGCCACTTCCCCGCTGGCTTCCAGTTAGACGGTGTCGACTATATGTGAGTGAATTCAGCCCCCGCTACGTTTAGGTCCCATTAGGCTCCGTGAATAAAATGTAAACAACACATCGACCATTTGCTCTGTTGACATACGGCGATATCCTCATCTAGAGCGGTTTCAGACCCATCCTGGGAAAAACTAATTAAAAAGGGTCTCAAGTCACAGGAAGCAACCGACCATACAAGGCTTCCGCTCGCGCCACGTCCTCCTCCGAAGTGCTGAGATGGACGATAAATCGAGAACCTGCTAGGTACATTAGCCGATAGGACCTGAATGGTTCAGTCTGCGTCCACGAACGGCAGGAAAAGAATATATCAAAAGAGCATTTTCCTCCTCATGGGAACCGGCTCCTCTCGATTCTGAAGCAGTAAGATCTTTACGGATACTTGAGCATTTCCATCTTGTGTAACCAAAAATGTCAGAGTCTGCTTCATACTCCTCCCGGGTCTGTCCCCCGTCGACTGTCCATTCAGTGAACAGGCCGTCCTCGTCTCTCACACTTGGTTCCTTCCTCAGTGTTAGTTGCATCTTCTGAGCGTCACCCATCTGAGTGAGTCTCTCTACTCCGAGTAGGTTCACCCTGACCACCCACTCGACACTTTTAGTTGATTAGCTGCAGCAATGATCGCGGCAGTAAAATAAGAACAACTCGTCTCGTTTCACTGCTCGTGGAACCAAGCGAGAGGGAGATGAAAGGGAGCCGCATGAAAGAAAATTCCAGGAGAAAACCGTCGAGAGGGTCTCCTGGCTTGTTATGTCACACAAGCTGAACTATTCAGCACCGACATCCCTGTGTAAACAAGCAACTAATTCCTTTTCTAAGAAGCACATTTTGATGCGGTCTGGCTTTCGTCACGCTGACGGTACAAACATCAACCCTGTGGGTCGTTAAAGATCCCTGAAAGGCCGTAAAGGGGGCAGAAGACGTCTGTGTGGGGAGCATTTAGCCGGTCGGTGGTCTACGTGAGTCCCCAGACACAAGTGGCTGAACAATAGTCTGACCAGGAGGTCAACAAAGCCACAATGAGTGAAGATTATCCAAACGCCGCGGAGGAACGCGCTCTGCCCCGTTACCTTCAATTTAATAAATGATCATTCGTCGCATTTACGTCGATGTATTTGGTACTTTTTGAGTGAGAATCAACAGAGAATCAACAGATATCCAGCTTCAAAAGGGAATAAAAACATTAAACTAAAAAGAAAGATTTTGCACTGTTTTTTCACATTTTGATTTAAATTTTTAGAAATGTTTTCCGTTTGACAGACAAGATGGGCGCTATTGTAGTAAAATGCTGGATTCAGGATGAAAAACAAAGGCACGCCGCTGAGTCGCAAAGACGCTCCTGGTTTCCTTCTTTAACTCTTCTCGTTCTTCTTCATCCACCGGCTCTGCTGGTCACTACTTATCGACGCAGACGGATAATAACACAACGGCCCAGCGGGGCTTTTGTAGGCTTACAACAACAAAATCCACACAATGGGCTGATTGTTTAAATCAGATGGCGAGTGATTAACAGGGTGTTTAGGACCACGGAGAATTAGATCTAACAAAGCAATTATCCACCAGTAAGACTCTTCACTTGACTTCTGGGGCTCAATTGAAGTTAACTTCAGACCAAAAATGTAAACTCAAGTCATTTAAATAAAATGAATCTGGTTACATTCAGCAGCATTTGCTACTAAATAATACTAATTATGTGTTAAGTAAGTCCTCACAGCCCCTGAGGATACGGGTCTGAGATTTGGGAAATCCCTGTGACTGGTTGGACTCAAACATCTCTAAACTCACTGTCCCAACGGCATTCTGGGTCGCGCTCGATTCCTGCTCATCACAAGCACAGTGGACACGCACGCAGCTGCAGAAGGTTTCCGAAATCACATCTCTGGATCGTTTCAATTCGCTAAACTCACAGGTTTCACCATCAGATTTACTAACAGTTAAGAACCGAAATGTGCACAATGCACAGAAAACTAGCATCATGTGCTATAAAGCCTAGCCAGGCTTTGGGTTTAGTCATTACCCAGGATTCTTAGGGCTCAGTTGGACGTTTCAATATCCCATGTCAGTCAGAATTCATACATTAAATCTAGATTTGTTTTTATATGTGCACAGTCTCAGTCATAGAGATTGAAATGGATTCTATCCAACATTACATCAACTATTTGCCATCTAGCCTCCGATAAGAGTGAACTCAAAGACGGACCATGTGGTTAAAAGACCAGGACGTGTGTGTCTACAGACATCTCCCTTCTTCTGTGTGGGGCTCGCTCTGTTATGTCGTTATCAAGGGGCTCATCTTTCCTTCATCTTGAACTCCTCCTCACATCCTTCTTTAAAGAAGAGGAGCAGGAAGAAGTCTAAATCATGCCCTTTTGGTAAATGTTCAGATTAACCGCGGTGGACGGAGTTAACCGGCTGTGCTGAGCGGTGAACACAGGAGGAAGATGAGACAAGACTTCTCTGTGTTCCCATCTCTCTGAATAAAGCTTCTACGTCATTAAGGCGATGCTGTGGGCCGTCTTTTCTCTGAGACAAAATGAAGCGGATCCATCCGGTCATCGTCAGAGTGGGAATTCGCTGCATCAGTGTTTGAAAATAAAAAAACGCAAAAAAAAACGGATGTATCACAGTGCGCAGGAGAGGCTGTTCAGTGGCTTCATGCGGTTCACATTCCTGAGGTCTCTGTGTATTTACTGGGTCGTCTCTGGCATCTGGATGACGGGAAAACGTGTGTGTGGGGGGGGGGTCACAACACCACATCACACACAGTCACATGTGCAAATGTATATCTCCGTTTGTATTGTGCGGCCACATTTAATTGTGTGCATGTGAGTCAAGACAGTGTTGTCAGAGTGCATTTTTGTTTTTACTGTAACCGCTTGAAAGCAGAACACCAGCGTTCAAGCACAAGTGAAACTGTAACGGCTCCACTCTGGGGTCGGCCTCAGACCGGATCACGCAACCTTCATCTCAACGTGATTCCTGTTAAAGCAGAAGGACGAGCGGAGGGCAATCCTACCTGGTAGTAGCCTTTAACCTGCCTGATGAGAATAGAGAGGTTCTGGATGCGCAGTGTCGGGTCATTGTTCACCTTCTTGTTGGTCCTCTGCACAGTGGCCTTAGGATTTCTGTAAGAGAATGTTAACCAGATGTTTAAACTCAGTTTGTAGCAAAGATTAAAGACGAACAGAAACAATTTGAATTGAATGCTTCGTTGCATGCGTGTGTTTGGCTGAAATCCTTATCGGCACAGAGACATTAGACCCTTGTCCGACTAGGATGAGTAGCCAACGTTAAAGAAAGCACAGACGCATTCAAACACCGGCTGTGCTCGCATGTGTCTGCCGCCCCTTAAAGCCGGAGGCTCCAACGTTTCAGACGGTGTTGTTTCCGGTTTTCCATCAGCAAGTTAAAGGGAGCAGGTATTTCTCCAATTCTGCAGGATTCTTGCAGGATACAGAGCCCGTGTCGTCATCTAACGGCGTGCTGCTCAAGGGACATTTAAAAAAGGAGCATGCACGACACCTAAGGTTATCGCGGGTGTCAACATGTTTTAGTGAGCCTCATAAACATTCCACAAACGCACCTCGCCGGCTGCTGTCGTCCAACAATCTACACTACGGCCTGCATGTTTGTGGAAATAAACTTTAAAATACCACACCTGACGTGGTCTCAAAGCGCATTAAACCGGTGGAGCTAATTGATGCAGAGAGGTGGGTTTCCATGGTCAGTGCTGGTCAGCAATCCATGCAGTTATCATTTACTTTGAAAAGCAGCCTGTCAGGGATTCTTAACTGCTTACATCTGAATAATGAATAATATAGTTCAAAGGTAGGTGAAATGGCAGTTTTTGCATGCTTGCAAGTTAAACGTTACACAGACCAATACTATGCCAGACGTGTGCTCTCAATGTGATAACTACTGAGCCCCTGAGGGAAATTCCTGTTTCAAGTGGCAGAGACACTTTGAAAGACACCTCATACTTACATACATACTGTGCATGCTTCAAATACGTGTGTGAGGCACAAGCATCCTGCTTAATTCAAAGCCAAATGCGATCCATCACCACGGAGCACTTAACAGTGCAGTGTGTGTACAGTTTCAGGGGAATAAATGCTACCGACTCATCAAGATGTCCAAAGCATGCTTTGACTACCGTGCAACAAGCCCAAGAGGAAACCGTAGTAAAATCTCACCCGCCTCCATAAAAAAAAGAAAAAAACAACCCTTCAGTTAATTCATAATGCATTTGCCTTGGGATTGTCTGCGAAAACAACACTTCTGGTATACTTGATTCTTGTGTAGCCTTCCACCACCAGTACTAAAGAGTGGCTCTCCTTCTCATGACATGCGCTTTCAAAGCATGGATCCCGTGACCCATATATGAGTGTCAACATGCTCCAAGCAGGGGGGAGGAGAGCCCTGGCTGCTTGTGGATGTATGCATGCATGCAGTGTGTAGCACATGAGTAGTCATGCATATGTGTGCCGGTCTGCATCTGCGCTCCATCTAACACGACTGTGCGGCCCAAAATAGCTTCATCCTGAAAAAAACATTAAGACGGAATATAAATCAGGATTCTTTTTTTTTTTTTCCTTCTGTCTCGTTCTGTTTGAGAGAAGAGGTCAAAAGGTGAAGAATTCGTCATCTTCCTCAAGGCCGCTCAGCTCGGTGAAAGCTCGCAGTCACGGGGGACGTCTTCACAAACACTTTACCAGGCTGCTTCTCTGCTTATATGGAGACTGATGAAACAGATTTCATATCAAACCACAAAATCCTGTGTTATGATCACAAATATAAATATCCTAAAAGGCCTCATTAATCATTAAAAAAAGAAAAATGTAAATGTTGATGACAAAAAGACCATTTGAAAGCGTAGCAGTGTGGCAGTGTTAATTACTCTTTTCATCAGCCTTCGCACACACCCACACACACACTAATCAGAAGGACACAGGGCTCTTTCTAATACTGGGCTAGATGAACAGTCATGTGACCTCCCCCCCCCCCCCCCTCGCCTCCACAGACACTCAGCCCCTTTTTCGAGGTCCGTAGTAGGGGGTCTATTTAACCCGTTAATTAAAAAGCACAGGAGGTTGTAATCCTGTCAGGGCGAGGAGGGTGATGTCGGGAATGAGGTGTGTGTGTGTGTGTGTGTGTGTCACAGAGATAAATAGATTGAAAAAAAGAAAAAAAAAGGAGAGAAAAAAAAAAACCCATAGAAAGAGTTGCCCGGTCGTACATTCCTTCACCCCCAGTCCACAGAACCGTGACTAACACACAAAGTACGTCCCTCGTTCGTCGGGCTCTGGTGCCGCACACTGCGAGCACGTGCCAGGCCGCCCCCCCCCCTCCCTCTGGATCAGCAAGCGCATTAACAAGGGGACTTGTACGGTACCGGAGGTCAAATGTCGTCCTTATTGCCTCCCTCCCAGCTCCTGGAGCACACCTGAGGCTTTAAATGGACAAATGCATTAGGCGGGCAGAAAGCCAACTGACCGGCCAGCGAGGCAGAGGACCCGCGAGCCGGGCAGCCAGACGGCCGCTCCATGGGCCCGTCCGGCGGTACCGTCGATGGGCGCCGAGACCTAATGCGAAGCCCAGGGCCACCGAGCTTTCTGCGCTCTTCTCCCGGCTCAGATTGGCTGGGTTGGTTAGAGAGTAGCGTTAACCTATATATGACAGGCTGCATTACAGTCAGCATGGGCAGCCAGGCACACACACACACACACACACACACACGCACACACAATGTGGCTAAATGCACACCCACAAAAAAAAGAAGAATGTGGGCTTCATTTGGCCACGTGTTGGGGATAGAGCTTATGAGCTGCACTGTACAAACATAGCAGGGACACGCAGCCACACACACACACACAACAGCAACAGAAAGAGGAAGCTGTGGGGTAGGCGGTTATTAGCAGCCATGCTAATGTTAGCGGTTCAGCTCAGGGTAATTCTGTGGATCCGTTTCTGCAAACATCCACATATGAAAATGTAAATTTGTCTGAGAGCAACATGGGCGGTCACCCACTCTGGACAAACTGGGACATGTAATATCCAAATGACAACATTTTAACCAGTGTGCCCAAACACCGCACAGAACCGACAGTTCGCTCAATTATCCAGATCAAAATCATAGCAAGATGACAGCTCCAATAATTGGAATGCAGCCCTAATCTAGTTCAAATGTAAATCTTGTTACCGGACTATATTAGAGCACTGGCTGCCCTTATTATACACCCGCCTATAACGCAGAGTCACCCTGATGTTGCATCCCTGCATCCCATCCAGTCATCCCTCACTGTGCCCCTCGTGAGAACAGCAGCGTGTGAACAAATAAAAAGCCCAGTGAGGATCTGACCATTGGTATGCGCCCCCCCCCTACACTTCCTTGTTCTGGCTTTTCATGGACTGGTTTCTCTCCTGTCTTTGTCTTTCTGTTTCCAGAGGGCCTCTTCCCATTCCTCGGCCGTGCCGTTGTCTCCAGAGGGACTGAAAGCCAAATGCGCTGCTGCCCAACTGCATAAAAGATCTGATGCTTTTCTTCGTGCTGGACTACGAGCACCTACGACTATAAAACACTGACATGTGTGAAAATGTCTCAAACGATCCACTTAATGGATGACTCACTAAACCAAACAATTCCCGGACGGTGATAACAAGGTCACGCGACACTCACCTCTCCGATGTACGGACTTCCTTTTTTCTTTCTTTACAGAAGTGCTGTACTTGGTCACGGATTCATTCAACCGTGCCGGTAACTCTCAATGTGAAGCTGCTGTTAATGAACAACTCAACACTTCCTGCAGATGCTTTGCAGCAAAAAAAAAGGTCTTCCAGGGAGCAAAAGGGTTTAGGCCCCCTGAGCTACTGAGGGGCTTGTAATATGAAGCAGATGGGAGAAGTGTTTGTTTGTTTGTATTGACCGCAAACAGCAGCAACAGCTTAATTAAATTTGGATTGTAGGATTTTCTTCTTCTTTTTTTTTTTAAGGGGAATAGCTTAAGCACAGAAACCCCAAATAAAGCTGAGAATGCATTATTTAAATGTCATGTTCAACTTTGAATTGCTAGGGCTGAGAAACCTTCGCCTAAACCCGCCCAAAGGGTCCGCGTGGGGTTCCAACGCGTCCTCGGCTCACAGCCTTGTTAAACAGTTCCGTCCTCTCAAGGTCACAGCTGCCGCTTCCTGCCCGACTTGATGTACATCCTCCTCGACGCAGTGGAGACGGGGGGGGGGGGGGGGGCGCGATTACGACAGATGACAGATCCATGCGCGATTCTGCACTTTGACGAGTGGCGGGCGAGAATCTCACAACGCGGCACCGACGCAGAGGAATCCCGAATATGTCTCCAGGAGGTCAAGTCGGGGAACGCAACAAAAAGGCTTCTACGGGCTGCTCAAAGAAAACAAGCGGAAGAAGAGGGGGGTGGGGGGAGACGAAGAAAGTGAGTTGTGCGGGAGGGAGAAAGTGGGAGCGGGTGTTGAGGCATGAAGAAGCGAGTGAGGTCAGAGAGAGGGAGATGAATCAGACGGCGAAGGCAAAGAGATCAAGGAGATGCAAAGAAAAAGAAGTGCTTTGATCCAACCATTTGGGGGGAAAATACCTAGACAGAGGTTTTATTCAAGGTGAGCGGCTGCACGCTTTTAGGAAAGCAACAAAAAGTGAACTTGGCCTGCATGTGGCCAGATGTTTGGTAGCCTTACAAATACTCAAACAGAGCAACAAAGCCGCAAAGAGCAGCGGCATGACGCGGCCTCCATGAGTTAGTTCAACAATAACCAGAGAATCCAGTGATTCGTCTGATGGTCCGCAACCAAAGACTCACCCTGCACACCAGGGCGCCTCTACACAGCCCATTGGCCGAAGGTCTTAGTATGCACGACGTGTCGAAAAGCCGATTCTGTCACGAATATGAAGTGATGACAGGCGCAGTGAGGACATCCTGTGAATATGAGACTACAGAGAGAAATTACCACAACGTGGCCTTGAATCGAGCATTAGGCGATTCATATTCCCTGACTCATGGGTTTGCTTCTTTGTCGTTACCACTAGAAAGCACACTCATAAGCAGAAAAAAAAAAAACACTAAAAGAGCAACGCCATCTCTTTATTTATTTATTTATACGCTCTAGCTCCCATGTGTGCAGCCGCTCAGACAGATTTACAGACATGCACGGATCTGCAGGAACAAAGAGAAACGAACCATGTGCAGCATGCGCGACGATTTCCAGGATTTAAAAAAAAGAAGAACATGACAAATGTTGCATAGGAGTCAACTAGGACTTTCTGTACTTCCGCTCATACAACCGACGTACACATCCGACCGGTCACATGGATTGACTGTGTTGTCCTTTTGGAGTTCGTCCTGATCCGATGCCGGGGTCATATGGATCGCAAAGCCCTCTGGGGCAAATTTGGTGTATTGGGCTATGAAAATAAGATTAAATTGAATCAAATCACACGCCCCCTTTTTTTTCAGGGTGTGTCGATCTCAGCCGTGTCGATCTCAGCCGTATCGCTCCGTCCCGGCAGCCCGCAGAGGAAGCGACTGTCTGGTGCACCGAGCGGGCCAGGGTCCGCGGGACTGGCAGGAAAACAGAGAATCCAACGGGACAGTTGTCCCTGTGACAAAACTTTAATGGGGGGCCCCCCCCTCTCGCCGAGCGGGAAAACTAATTGGTTTTGACAGCACGGAGGAGGAGATCTAATTCGCTAGGTAATGTCTGTCACATGCCGGGAGGGTTGGAGGCGGTGGGGGCCGGAGAGGGGGGGGGGGGGCGTGGTGCCATCTGGGTGTCAGCGAACCGTTAAAATAATCCCGGGGTCCCTCCTCTTCCCGCTCCGCGCTGCGTCCCATGCTGTTTCGACGACAACTGCTGCCGACCGGTCTGCCGCGTCGGCGCTAAGAGCCGCGCGGAGACGTCGACGCGGCAACGCCGCGGCGACAGCTGACATCACCGGGAGTAAAAATAAACTTTCTGCTCATTTGTGCCACAAAGAGAAGCAGATTATTTTAGGTGAACATTGGATGAAGAATCCTCTGCTTACAGTGGAGCAGTTGTGCGTCGTCTCTTTGCAGCAGAGAACATTCTGTTTCTATAGTAGTGCCAAATCTAAACGCTGTAAACCCTACTGACTGGAGTAGTGGTAACAGCGGCGCCTTTTTGGGAGGAATTGATCAATGCCAACAGAAGTCTCTCAAGCTGTCAGAGGGAGAGTGGGGAGAGTAAAAAAAGGGAATGAGTGAGAGAACTTGTTGGTCGCAGCCAGAGAACTGGAATGGATACAATCCCCGTTAATCATCGCCTACAGTCCCTCAGAGACGCTGGAAAACTTTCCTGCGGTGCAGCTCTTTTTAATGAGAGTTACAGTGTAAGAGAGGGAGGATGGGGGGGAGGAGGCATTTCTAAACACACAATCACGGATGGGGACAAACCCGAGGCCTATTTTAACTACATTTCTCTCTTGATACAGAATTAAATCCTGCAGAGACATTGATATCAGGCCTATTTGTTGACACATTCAAAAAGGCTTGAACTTGAGATTTATCATGAACTCATGGGCGCATGATTTCTAGTCTGAGAGTATTTGTATCCATGAGTTTATTCTTCGAGTGCCTTTGACAAAATGAAGAAATTAACAATGTTTAAGTAAAGACAGATCCTGTCATCCTCCTGTCATAATAAACAAAGATCCCAATGACTTCTGTGCATCCACAATACTGAGCTTAAAAATAGATAGGAGACGCATGACTTTGGGGGACGCAGTCATCTAAAAGCCTGTAATTGTGGTTTACGTGCATACATATTTTAGCTCACCGTGCAGTGTACTTGAGCGCGCTCTGCTTACTGGACGTGACCACGTGGGGCTGGTAAAGAAGAAGCAGTCTGACCTACACTGTAGGCCTTTTGTGTGGGAGGCCGGCTGGGCCAGACGACTACCAACAGCTGCCTCAGTCCAAAACAAATTGCATGGAAGGAAAAAAACACACACACAGATACACAGACGCCCACGCGGACACAGAGGAGCCACACAGAAACGCGCACACACACACACACACACAAATATAAACAGAGCTGGCTGTGACTGGCGATCCCCGACATCCTGTCAGCCGACCCTCAGCCAGTCACAGCTCAGCTCAACTGTTTTGTAAGGGAGCACACACACACACACACACACACACACACGCCACAAAGTTCCCATCCAATTCATTCCACTTATTTGCAGACAGAAATCCTACCCGGTGCCTGTTGCAAAGCGGCTCGATGTGTAGATGTGAGCAGTTCAAACCGGCTATTTGGCGCTCTCATCTCGTATCTTTGCTGCCATGTTGAAAGGTTTTCAACCATTTTTGGTGAGAATCGTTTTTCGGTCCCCCCCTCTCACTTCCTTCCTGTTCTTTCCACTACCTCATGTCCCAATGGGGGGAAAAAAGGCTCTAAAAATACTGATGACTTGTTGATCGTTTTTGGGTGTGTGAGCGTGAAAGAGGAGAGGGGCCCTGCGATGGCCCCCTTAAACCCCTCTCTGATTCAACGGGACACGGCCTGGGGAAGGACAAACACGCACGGGACAGAGCGACTAGGTGGACGGCTCCGTGGGGCGATGGTAGGAGGAGGTTGAGGACAGAGCAGCAGGAGGAGGAAGAGGACAGAGCAGCAGGAGGAGGAAAGCAAATCAGAGGACAGGAAGCGGCCGTTCAGAGTTGATCAGCTCCTCATGCCACACAGCTGCAGCTTAACCCTTCGGGAAGACAATTCCCTCCGAACACACCGAGGTAGAGCTGTGCACATGGAGAAATACTGCAAGGGGACGGCCGTCTTGCGCAGAAGACAAGCGTCCCCCTCCTAGAGACGACTCTGACTGGTAATACGGGTGACACGTGAGGTTGGCTTAGGAAACTGCAACCCGTTATAATCTCGTCTGGGAGGTGGAAATAAACTCCACTGGGATCAGGCCGACAGGAGGAGTAAATGCTGACGGTGTGGACTGGGGCATTAGCGGAAAATATGACACAAAAAAAAAAATGTCCCCGGCAAGCGGGAAGTCTGGAGCTCTAAGCCAGACAAAAGGAATGGAAAGCCGTCTGCTGCACGTTGGGAGGCGACTGGAAATACAGGCGGATTCAGGCAGACATCGAATGCCTCGTCTTTCCCAGCACATCTTAAAAAGAGTTCACAGAAACACGCATTACTGAAGGATCTGCATTCAGATCCCGCTCCCAGTGTTTGTCCGCTTACCACTGCTATTTCTAGTGTTTTAATCTAATCTCCCAGCGGGGAAACGGGAGCTTCTGGGGCTTCCAGTGGCGACGAGTCAGCTGCAGACGACGGGCCTCCCGCCGACCGAAAAGTCGTGGAGCCGCTCGCCCGCCTCCCCGCAGCTCGGATGCAAATTCAGCAGCAGCTCCCAGGGGACCCTGCAGATAACAGTCTGCGGCCGTTTCTGGAGGTGTGACCCACGACTGGCCCCGATACAAGGTCCCCTTTGTGCGTAGCCTACATTCACTCCAGCACACAATTTAAAAGAGGCTGGAGCTAGTGAAGAAAAGCGTCATCGGGTCATGTGGGGATGACCACACTAAAAGCCCCCCAGGGGATCATTTGTTGTGTCTCGTCCACACCATAAAGGGCAAAAACACGTTACGTATACGTGCATCACCGTAATGGGTTTGAAATCCCGAGCAAAGGCCTGCGCGCTGTCGTACGAACAATCCTGGGTGTGCAACACGTCTGAGCGAGGGTCAGATTACTTACATCTCCAGCATGATCTCGTTCAGGTAAATCCCATCCACTAATTCAATGTATTCCGATAGTGGGGAGCCATCGGTCAAGGAGGCCTGGCCGGCTGTCTTCACCTGGGGATGAATGGGAACAAGAGAAAAGGGGCGTTGAGATCAACCACACACACACACACACACACGGCAGGTGAGTGGGGGTTCGATTAGTGGGCTTAGCACACGTCGCAGTGGTTCCACGGGGAGAGACGTACCCAGCACACCAGAGGCGTGAGCATGAACTGCTCCAGCAGAGGGGTGAAAACCTCGCTTTCCATCTTTGCTTTTCAGGGCAAACACCGGCGCCGTGTTAAAGAGTGTTCGGCTCCCCGCGGAGAAAGACGCGTGTTTTGCTTTTGAATCCGCTCACGTAGTTGATTCGATTAAAGCGACGCTCATTTTTGGACCCACTCGAAAAAAAAAAAAAAAATTTAAAAAGCGGGTCCGACGTTTCTGGAGGATGTTGAAAAAGAAGATTAAAAAAAAAAAAAAGGTTAATCCAGAATCTTCTCGACACCACACAGATGTTTGAGATGGCAACGGCTGGGTTACCTCATCCGATGGAGAATGAATCACATTGTTTTCACGTGTCTTTAAACCACCGAGCTGAAACAAACGAGCTTAGCTAACATATGTGCATACTAGAGACCTGAGCCAGGTGTGGTTTTATGCTAGCTGACGGGGGAAAAAGAGAAGGTTGCAGGATAAAGATCTCACAGAGGCTAATTTAACGATGAGAGAAACATGAATACAGCAAGGACAAATATCCAGTGTGAGCGGGGTGGAGAAAAAAAAATCCACAAGTTTGAAGTCCCGTTTTCCCCAAATCGTCCTGTTTACTCCTTAAATTGCCCGTGAGGTCATTAGCGGGCGCGCGGACTTCTCTCTCCGCCCGACTCCGTTCGAATGAAGGGGGCGCGAGCGCAGAGGATGAGCGCAGGACACTTAGCACCGCCCCGCCCTCCTCCGCATCTCCCTCCGCCCCCCCCCCCCTGCTGTGAGAGAAAGAAAAATAGGGCACCCGATGAAAGCGTCAATTTCCATCAATATGTTGTGTGTGCTCTTCGTAAATAGTTAGTGTACTATTACATGTAGTGGAAGCGCAGCGCTGGGGATGCGAGCAACGTTTTTTAGTGAATGATGGAGACATGCATGGAATGGGACGAAGCAGACAGCTCCATGCTGCTTTAGTATATATGGATTTGCATGCTAAACAGTTCCTGCTTGTTTTCTTCCTGTGCAGGTAGAATATACAGGGGATCCATGCGTACCTTTTGTCTGCCTTTGCAGCATGCAGCAGACTGCATTAAAGCTGCATGAAAGAAGGCTACTGACACCTAGTGGGTAATGTAAAAAGAGACTAGTGTAAAGGGATCCTTATGTTATTGTCCAACACATAACTGCTATGATGCACTTCCCTTTTCCGCATTAGGCAAAATAGAGGCAACAGTCTCAACAGTATTTATGCTGCAGTAGCAACCAAAGAATCTGTTTGTGGGATTAATAAAGAATCTATCCATCTATGTCTATTTTTCAGTCCATCTATCTGTCTATCTAAATAATCAAGGAAACACTATGGAGGAGTTTTGTTTCGAGATAGGTGGATATGTTCTGTTATCATTGTAAATTGAATACTAATATATTATATGAATCAAAGCTCTTGCCGATTGCACCACTGTAGATTTTAAGGGATCCTGCCACTATAATCCAACCAGCAACCAGTTAATTGAATAACACTTCATTTATTTTAACTGCATCAGCAGCAAGGTGATGACTGAAGCATAAGACCTTCTCTATACAGGAGACACCTAATCAACAGTTGATGGATGGCTCTGTGGGTGTGAGGAGGAAGCACTCGTGTGACCAAATAGCCAATGAAAACACAATCACTGATCTGGGAGCCGGGGACCGGGGTCACCTCTCGGGAACAAATGGATTCTTGTATGGTCACCTAAAACTTATGATAAGCACATTCCAGCAGCGGCCCTCATTTGCATTTAGAGTAACGGTCGTTGTGGTCGACACTTCCGCTTGATAGAGTAAGAGATCACGACCTGCTGTCTCTTGTCCTTCTGCTGACTGGAGGGTTTTAAGCTCCAGGAGTTACAGCACAAAGTGACGCTTCTTGGAAATCCAATGTTGGTTAAAACAGTAAAATGTATCAAGATAGCGGTTTTATTTTCTCTGTTTGTTTGTTAACGTATAGTGTACATCGCCAGATAAATGTTAAATATCAAGCTGCTGACTCCAATACATGGCATTAAGTCAAAGTCACAAGTGGGTTTTTTTGGTCTGAACATATATTCTCTGTCAATACAGGTAAGGCGCTTTGTTCCTTGCTCCCGATGTTATCTTATCTTAATGATGTGAAAAAACAAATGGTTAGTTTGCTTCAGGGTCCACTCAATAAAATACGTTTCCCGTGGCAGCCCACTCAGGCCTCTGTGTCACCCAGAACGCGGATAATGAAAACCTTTCATGGCTGCTGGATGGAGCCTTGTGCTTACACAGAACACAATTATGCAGAAGCGATTACTGTGGAGGATAGGGTGGATATTCTCAGTGTGTTTATTGTGTGTTAGGGTTCATTCCGTGAGTGATTCATTGACCTTGCTGGTGCTGCACTGGGCTATTTCATAAAAGTCTGTCATTAATGACGCTTTAAATAACTGTTTTTTCCAAAGCGTCACCTACATAAATGACTCAGTGATTATAGAGACGCACAGCAGCATTTCTCACACACACACGAACACACACACACACACAAACACGCACACATACTCAGCGAACCATGAAGCAGAGCTGCTCTAAAATCCTTAACAAATCAAACTTTCCCTCTCTGAACAACCACATTCCTTTGTCGCTCCTCTCTTAGATACAATTCTAAACTGCAGTTTCCTGTTAGTTATTACACTGGTATTTACGAGTGACCACAAGAATTTTTAATTTGGAGCTGAGCTGATGTCATGTGGCATTGAATGCCGGGTGGGCTGACACAGATGCTCGAGCTGTTTCCCATTCATCCTTCTTTAAGTAACTTAGAACCGGTTTGGACTCGTAACAAGTTGATGAGTCAAATCCAAAGCAGCATATTCTGATTTACACGGTAAATTTAATGCAATTATGTTGACCATATTTAGGATTCCTATAGCTATTACATTACAAATATTTGGGTTTATCCTGCAGCGTCAATATTTATACCACATTTCCTTGCAAAATAGCTGATATTTGCTGTTTTCTTGTCATATTGAAGCAAAGTTTGAGTTTGAGACCATGACAAAAATCATGATCATGCTTTAAGCATGTGCCGATAATAATACTTAGCAAGCTGTAAGATGAATCGACACTCACACTGTCTAAAAGGTGTCCTTGACTAACTGATAATAAGGTGCTTAAGTGGTCTTTTAAAGTCTTTTTAGATTATGTTCTGCACACACATAACAATGCACCTTCAACAAATTGGTGATAATAACGTATCAGAGAAACAAAAGGTAAAAAACACACAATTTACATACACCATCAAACACGACCTCTTTCTTTGCTGCAGAGGTCAGCCTGACCATCCTCTCAGGTGTGTCTCCTTCTTGTAGGACTGCAATGAGAAAAATCAATGTCTGTCTGTAAAATCTCCAGTTGAAAGGATTAAGCCCCCCTGTGGCAAAGCCTAATCCCTAAAGGTCAATGGAGATGTGTGTGTGTACCAACCCTCAAAATCCTGGCAATTATAACACATCCTTTATTAAACTCTGAGAAAAATACATTAGTATTGACTTTCATAAAGACGTAGAGAGACACGGTAGCACACAAAGCGGTCCAGTTTGTTTAAACCAAGCAGAGTCAGAGGATGCGCCTTAATGACAGCTCTGGATTGAGCTTTGGTACCAAAAAGCAATCCGCTCTCTGCGTTTGAGGCCTCTCTGAATCTCTCTCTGCGGTCTGAGAGGCTTTTTGGATCAACAACGCTGCAAGGAGCCAATAGTTAAGAAAGAAGGGGTTAGAGTTGCAATTAAAACACATTTCAGTCTGTCATTGATTTAGTCTCTGGCCCGGGCCGCTTTATTGATGCTGCAAAGATTATTCTCCCCGCTGGAATCTTCTTTTCATGTTTTAAACATGTGAGTCTTGCACACTCGGTATTCTTTGCTTTCTGGTTGTATCCTAAACTTTGTCCTCTGTGTATGCCATGAAAATGGTACAAGTCATGTATATAGTTCATTTTTATAAAGAATCATTTACTGCAACCTGGAGTTGATCGATAAGAGCAAGAGCTTACTGTTTATTGAGCATGTATCATACATTCCTAAGCACATCAGACATATATCCACTCATCTATGAATCACTGGGTATTTCCAGACACTGTGCCAACACACACAAACACACACTCAATGGCCGTTTTCTGATTAGCATCCAATGTTTCTGATTTTTTTTTTAACCATAAGAGAAAGTAGCTTGTGAAAGTTCAATGTCAGTTATGAAGCATTCTGCTCTACTTATTCTGAGCGAGTGGAACCGTATATGTCGTGGAACCTCGCCATGCTCAAAATGAAATTACCACACTTTGTCACAAAGGAAATCATTTGTTGCCAACTCAAGTCGCTAGCTGTCGGAACGGTGTTTCCCCTCGAGCTCATGCATGTCCATGTCGGTGGATCCAATTACTGTCTTTGAGAGACACACAGGATAAACCAGTAAACGAACAAGGTGAATGCAGGAATTCCTCAACGCCGGTGTAAATGGACACTTAGAAACAAATGCAATTCTGCAGGAAAAGTTGTAACACCAACATTTCTTAAGATTTAGGAAGATACGTAGTCTGCCTTCAATCACAGTGCAGAATAACCTCAGATCCCATTACTGCTGAAGATTCCATGTTCTGCATGTGTGTGTTAGAATGTGTCTTCAGGTGAGCACATCAGAGATCACTTCTACCTGCCATCTCCTGAAACAACACAGCATTAAATCTTAAAGTCTTAAAGGGACTGGTGCAACGCATGACGGGTGAAGAGCTTTTTTTCTTTGAAATTAGCTGCAAACATGACGAAATTGTGTCACTGACATTCACAAACCATGGAAGGAGGGCTAATATCAGGTTATTCAGTGTTCTTTAGTTTGGCCTGGTTGATTTAATTTGGCCTGTTTGAATAATTACTTCTCATCAACAACAAATATTCATTCAATCACCTCTTTACACTGCTTGGTCCAATTATCTTTAAAGGTCACAGAGAGCCCCGTGAGAACATAATGGGTTAATAAAGAATTGATGTACAGACAGTCCACAGATTTATTTCTGTGTTGGTCGATTAACATTTACATGAGAAGCAAAAGCTTCCTCGAGAAAACGCAAACACAGCCTTCTCCACTAAGCTGTTCATGATCCCTGGAGTCTGCCTCAAAGCAAAGACAGGTCCATTACGCACTAATAGTCCATGGCTCTGCTCGTAATAACGAGATGTCAATGTGTCCCGCAGCCATGGAAACAAGGAAACACTGGTAGAGACCTTGGTAATAATGGAAATGTGTTCTGTGTTTTTCAGTGGGTGTGAGCTAGTGGGAGTGATACCCTGCAATTAACTGGAGCGCGTGTGTGTCTTTGTGCATGTTTGTGTGTGTGCATGCGTGAAGACAATCCATAGTGCGTTAGAGATGCTGTTAACACTCATCTGTTGCCATAACAACCACAGCATCCCCACTGTCAGTGAGTTGGCTCAATGAGTGACTGCAGGGGTGTTTGGCTTCGGTTGTAACGTCTGGAAAAGAAGCAAGGTCCCTGATTTACCGAAGGTAGTCCGTTGTTCAGAAACATTTGACAGTTGGATGAGTTTAAGACAACGTCAACAAGATATGGATGAAAGTTGGCAGCCGTTGTTAAAAGTAATGAAAATAGATTCACAAATTCCTGAAAAATAAACCTAAATGACCTTAATCTATATGATCTAAATCATGGCATACTATGCGTAATGTATTATGAATCCATAGTAACATGAATCTTTATGTTCTTCCAAGCTGAGAGGTGAGTTTTATGAAGCAATCCTGACATCTAGCGGTGGGGATTATAAACAACAAAGGTCTACTTGTAGCTCACAAGCTGCTGCTTCCTTTCCTCTTACACCAATCTACTTCCAAACATGTCTTCTTCTCCTAGAAGTCGTTTAGTTATATTGCCTGTGGGTATACTGACATTTTTTTGTTTTTTTAGTTGAGAAAAACAGTACAATACTAATACTAATGAACAAATTTCCATTGCATTTCAGATTGCTAAAGCAGGTATTTCTTTTTTTCGAGGAGCTTTGCTGGCTATTAGAAAAAATAAATCTGTATCTAAGGCACATCCACATTGGCTTTAATCTCTGAATAGGAATTCGGAAACCCATTCTTACAAAATGTCACAGCGCCAAGTAGTAATTAATGCAAAATAGTCTGTGGTAATCGCGTGGAAAATAAACGATTTGACATTCTGTTGACGCGACTAGCTGTTTATACGGCTCTGGTTTTGACGTCACACACGCAACGCGGTCAGTCCAATCAGGAAGAGCGCTTCTGAAAAGCACTTCCGCACATGTGACTGAACTGACATGGAAGCCCCCATGCGCACATCTATGCTGTAACGGCTGTCACCCCGGTCCTTTCCTCTGTTTTGTCCTCGTGTTTCTGGGGATATGAGGTATTTACTCCGTCTCGGGCGCTCCTTTGCCCGCCTCCACGTCCGTTTATGTCACCAGAGTGTTTACAGCAACCATGCGAATCCACAAAGACTGGTCGTGGACCTTGGGGAGAAGTAAGTTGACTTCCCCGCCTTCCTTTCTCTTCCAGTGACCGTGATCATGATGTGTTTCATTTTGGTTGTAGGAAACTTGAGATCTCTTCGGGGAGGTTCGCTAGATTCGCCGATGGATCTGCGGTGGTGCAGGTAAAGAACAATCCACGTGCATGAATTGGCTGCGCCTGGAGGTTGGACATCTTTTCTGATCCATATTCTTCATAATATCGTTGCACTTTACCTTTCATCTCATACCATTTATTCTATTTATCTACTAGTTATACCATCAGGTTCTTTGCTCCTCATATGTTTCTGAACAGCATTTATAATCCTATAAATTAACTTGCTCTGATTCTAAAATAATTAACAGAATCAAAAATATTTACTAAATGGGGAATCTTCCAAAAATAAAAATATCTGACGTAACCTTTCCCAGTTATAAACTTTTTTTATACTGTATGTTGAGACATCATGGAAGATCTTTACTGGTCAATTCAAGATTTTTGATCCTATATGGGATTTATTTATGTGATCTTGTTCTCTTTCTGAAGCTGGGAGATACCTCTGTGATGGTGACTGCCGTGAGCAAAACCAAACCTTCTCCGTCGCAGTTCATGCCTCTTGTGGTATGTTCTCTAACGTTACAGTGAAATGGCCGCCACGTCTTTGTTTATAGACTGCGATATTATATATTTGTGAGTGAATGTCCACCTCTGATTGACAGGTGGACTACAGACAGAAGGCAGCTGCTGCCGGGCGAATCCCCACCAACTATTTGAGGAGAGAGATGGGCACCACTGACAACGAGATCCTCACCAGCAGACTCATCGGTGAGTCGATAAGAACGTGTCTTTCGACGTGCATCTGTGTGCTGACGTTGCCTTGTGCTCTTTGACTGAAGCCAACGTTAAACTTTCCTCTTGTGTCTGTTGCTCAGACAGGGCGATCAGACCGCTGTTTCCTCACGGCTACTTTTACGATACGCAGGTCAGCTGAGTTGCACTTTTTCACCGCTGTGGTGACACTTTAGCACACTTTTTCTTTTTGAACACCGATGATCTTGATGCGTATCTTCCTCCAATGTTTTGCGTGTGTGTTTATGTCTCCTCAAGGTCCTTTGTAACCTGCTGGCAGTTGACGGTGTCAATGATCCAGATGTGCTGGCTATAAATGCAGGTTAGTTAAATCTCACGCACGCATGTTTTCCACCGAGGTTTTCCATCTTTAGCCTAAGCAATATTTTCTCTTGTTATAGCTTCTGCTGCTCTGTCCCTGTCCGACATCCCCTGGCATGGACCCATAGGTGAGGAACACGCAACATATTTAATCCTTTTCACAGGATTTCCTCCGCTTTTTAATTCCTGTTTTCACTTCAGTTCCTCGTATGTCTCCTTTGCATTTTTTTAAAATCTAGCTTGAAACTCCTTGCGTGTTTACGCAGGTGCTGTGCGGGTGGGCATGGTGGATGGGCAAATGGTGATCAACCCCACCAGGGCGGAGATGACGTCCAGTAGTCTTAACCTCATAGTGGCAGGAGCTCCCAGCAGTCAAGTGGGTAAGTTGGTTAAAAAAAACTGTCACAGCAGACTGATGAATCTTTTAAAGACCCACAATCACACACATAGTCATCTAGAATTTGTTTGTTAGCTTGAACATGCTGTAATGCTATAAACTACTTGCTGCTAATGAATCTGTTCACACCAGGAAGTTATTTAGAGTCAGCTGCTTCCGATTCCCGGTAGAATATTACAAAAACGAGGGAGGGAAAGAGGGAGACAGAGGGAGCGAGGGACGGAGATTTGTGGCTTGTGTAAAGCGCTGTTCATCTGACGATCATGTGACTCTGGTCGGATGTGACTCTCTGTTGGCCAGTGATGATTGAGGCGTCAGCTGAGAACGTGCTGCAGCAGGACTTTTGCCATGCGGTGAAGGTGGGAGTCAAACACACCCAGCAGATCATCCTGGCCATCCAGCAGCTGGCGCGAGAACAGAAGATCACCAAGCGCACCCCGGTCCGGATCTTCTCTGCCCCGACTGACATGGTGGAGCACCTTCGGCAGTAAGACGAAACTCAACGTCATTTCCAAAATGAAATTATTTTAAATTGTCTGTAGATGACGTCATGCAGTAATGTGTTCATCTGTTTTGTATATTTTTAGATGTTAGTAATAACTTATATTTCCTTTTTTCATCCTCTCAGATCAGTCTCCAAGAAGATCTATGCGGTTTTCACCGATTACTCTCACGATAAGGTGAAGTCTGTCGCTCGTCTGTCGCTTCCCTGTTTCTTTACTTGATTTAAAAGCGGCTCGAATCGCCGATGTTTTTCTGCTCTGAGATATGACCATGTTTATGTACCGTATCTCCGGAATAGTTTACGGAATGATCTCATCACGACCTTGTTTTAGATTTCAAGAGACGAAGCAGTCAACAAAGTCCGACTAGAAGCTGAAGAGGACCTGAAAGGTAGTTCATCTTCATGTTTGTGTTACAACCCCCTTCACACAACACGTATGTACTTAAATCTGTAACTGATGTCATTAATGTAATATAATGCCCTCCGTGTGTAGAAAGATTCCCTCAGGCGGAGCACTTTGAAATCATCGAATCCTTCAACACTGTGAGCAAAGAAGTCTTCCGCAGTTTAGTTTTAAATGAGTACAAGAGGTAAGTCCCGTCGACGGTGACCTTCACATACAGAATTTTGTCTTGCCTTTGTGACTGGATTTCTTTTAGTTATTTTTTATTTATTTGCGGTGTTGTAGATGTGATGGGAGGGAGCTGACTGCTTTGAGGAACATCTCCTGCGACGTGGACCTCTTTAAACCGCTGCATGGCTCCGCTCTGTTCCAGAGAGGACAAACACAGGTAGGAACAGCGCAAAGAAGAAGCTCGATTTTTGACATTTACACTTTGTTGAAAGGAGAATCCGATTGCGTTCCAATTTGCCGTGTTTCCTGCAGCTGTTAAAGATAAAATACTGGGTTTGGTAATGAATGCAAAAGCAGCAGCAGCAGGAGGAGGAGGATCAGTAAGGGTCTGGAATTTTATTTTTACTGTGGTGAAGCCTCTTACTTTTAACAAAGAAGGCTCGGTCCTACTTTTTTCTTTTTTATAGGTCCTCAGCAGTGTCACATTTGACTCCCTGGAATCCAGTGTCAAAGCAGATATTATCACCACGGCTTTGAGGTAAAGCTGTCACTCATGTCTGTATCTGAATGTCATTGACTACAGGGTTTCATCCAATGTTGCAGACTAAATTACGAATGAAGATTCAAGACAATTTAACCCTTGTCTTTCAATCCTTTTGTCTCTGCAGCGGCGTCAAATCCAAAAACTTCATGCTTCATTATGAGGTGAGTCAAATCCTTAAAAACAAAGAAGAATCAATGGCTAGTTTAATATTCTTCAGTGAACTTAAAGAGGAGGTTAAGGGGTATCCCCCATGCTCATATTGTGCACCTATCTGACAATGTTAAATTGTAATCTTCTGTAAATCAACGCTATAACTTCCGGTTCATTGTGACTTAAAAATCAACTTTGCCTTTTGATTTCAGTTCCCTCCGTATGCAACCAATGAGATTGGGAAGATGGGAGGCATCAACAGGAGGGAGCTGGGACATGGTTTGTGTTAAAGTTCCTTCTCCTCGTCGTCTTCAGGGTGCGCCGACCACAGAGTCATCTGGACGAAGACATGCTTGTGTGTGTGTGTGTTTGCTCATGTTAGTGTGTGTGTGTGTGTGTATTTGTTCACGTTCAGGGGCCCTGGCTGAGAAAGCTCTGAGACCCGTCATTCCGAAAGACTTCCCTTTCACTATCCGGGTCACTGCTGAGGTGCTGGAGTCAAACGGTGAGTGTTGGGACAACGTTTGTGAAGAGGAGAGGATATCAGGATAGGCAGGATACCTCGGACAGGAGCCTCTTCATCTTCTTTATCTCCCCCTCAGGATCTTCCTCAATGGCTTCAGCGTGTGGAGGCAGCCTCGCTCTAATGGATGCAGGTACGAGCTCTTCTACAGCTAATATAAATATTCATATTTATTATCTTGAAAATATGCTGATGCTACCAACACAACTCGATAAACCAGATCATTCTATCCTAAATTAATACATTTAAATTAAATTGATGTTGCATTCAAAGTCAATGATTGTATGATATCAGAGATTAGCACTGCGGCAGCAAATTACAATTCAAAACGATGTTTTAAGAATTCTCATTATGCTCCTCTGATACAGATTGAAGATGGATTCATATGATTGGGTCGCTGGATTAAGTTCCTTGTTTTTATTCACACAGTGAGGCGTTTTGTTTTTGGTGCTAAAATGTACCTAACATAGCTGCATCTGTGTCTCCCAGGTGTTCCCATCTCTTCTGCTGTGGCAGGTGTAGCAATCGGCCTCATCTCTAAGGCCAACCCGGAGAAGCCCACCGACATCCTGGACTACAGATTACTCACCGACATTCTGGTACGTATGAAGTGTGACCAAACATGTAGAACAGGAAGAAAGAGTTTGTTTAAACAGGACATACCTTTTTAAAACATTCTCACTAAATGGCATGGGACATGTTGAATGTGAGCTAACTATTGCTTCCTAACCAGGGAATAGAGGACTACCTTGGAGACATGGACTTCAAATTGGCAGGAACAAGCAAAGGCATCACTGCGTTACAGGTACCAGGTCTTATAACGGAACAATGGCTTAAAAAACCATGTTTTGGGCTCAGTCGCTGAACTAAATAAATGTATTTAATGCTAGTGGTATCGTGATGTATGAATACAATGAACTTGTTGAGCTGTTAATGCTGCTATCGTCCTTTTCGGTTCATCTTTTACACTTATTCAACCCCCAGGCCGACGTGAAGATCCCAGGTTTGCCTCTCAAGGTGGTCATGGAGGCTATCCAACAGGCCACAGGTGAGCAAAACATTTCACCTAAATAAATACCTGGGAACATGTTTTCAGCTTTATGGACTTTGTTTTAATACTGTGCTCCAGTGGCAAAGAAGGAGATCCTGGGCATCATGAACAAATGTACAGCAAAACCCCGAGAGACGAGGAAAGAGAATGGACCTGTTGTGGGTAAGCGTTGTGTTCTAACGTGTGTGTGTGTGTGTGTGTGTGAGCTTGAAAGGTGTTTCTGTGTGTAGGACTCGTTGAGTTAGATGAGTATCAATGTCATGTTGGATACAATGAAGACAGGAGGCCAAAACAAGCTGCAGAGTATTTGCTCTTCACTTGGAGGAGAGACCGTCATTTCTCATGAATACTGTGATTCCAAAACAAATGCAAACTCTACTTATGGAGCATTTTACGTCGTATGGAGCTGATGTTCGATGGTTCTCTTCTGCATCCAGAAAATGTCCGGGTGCCCGTTTCCAGACGAGCTCGCTTCGTCGGTCCAGGCGGCTACAATCTTCGCAGGTTACAAGCTCAGACAGGTAACAAGTCATTTGAAGGTCAAAGTCAGACCGGCGCGCTGATACCTTTGCGAATGTAGTACAGACTGTCATTTGTTGTTCTTGAGGTGTGACAATAAGTCAGGTGGACGAGGAGACTTTCTCTGTGTTTGCTCCGACGCCCGGAGCCATGAGTGAAGCCCAAGACTTCATTGGTGAAATCTGCAAAGACGACGTGAGTCTCCAGGGCTGTTCGGATGCGTTTTTAGTCATCGTACAAAATACATTCACCGCACTGTATCAGCGGGATCTCAACCCGAGGCTGTTGCAATGCACCTGTGTGTACATTCATGTGCATAAACATGCATGTTTGCTTTTGTTGCAGCAAGAGCAGCAGCTGGAGTTTGGTGCCATCTACTCTGCCACCATCATTGAGATAAGGTAAAACAATGAACTGCAGTATTTGATCAGTTATTGGCAGTTCTTACAGTTTAAACATGTGATCTGGGAGAACGTCATTTGGCATGAATCCAACCTTTAGCGTTTTTTCCTGCTGTGCTTCAGGGACATTGGTGTGATGGTGAAACTTTATCCCAACATGAGCGCTGTTCTGCTGCACAACTCACAGCTGGACCACAAACGGGTCAGTGGACCCGGTTTCCTAACGTGTGCCTGAGGTGTTTGAACATGAAACCATCGGTTACCTCTTTTTGTATTTCCCTCTTTTTAGATCAGACATCCGAGTGCTCTGGGTTTAGAGGTGGGACAGCAGATACAGGTGCGTGTCGCTGCCGGCTGTTTTGTCAAAAGTCGCCTCCCGTGTGTTTCGATTCTGGGCTGATTGTCTCTGAATGGACTTTTGCCAACAGGTCAAGTACTTCGGACGGGACCCGACGGACGGCAGGATGAGAATTTCGCGGAAGGTGCTTCAGTCTCCTGCTGCATCTGTTGTCAAAACGATGAGCGAGAAACAGAGCATCTCCATGGGTCCAGGCGACGGCCACGCGACCCCACCCGATTTGTGACCCGCCACTCCAACGGGCTAACTGTGCATTGCTAACGAAGCGGATTTAATAAGCGCGTATTCTGCCGCAAAGCATTTCTGCTGAGAAATCACGCAAACCAAGAGACGGTTTCCCCTGCGGCGGTGGTTATGGATGTGACTGGAATGAACCGCTGCCGATCCAAAGCCGCGTCCTGCCGTCATCGGTGGACATCCACCGGCTGGAAAGGAACGCTGAGCAGGAGACAAGTTTTATTTCGAAGTGTACTCGTTTTTTTTTTTTTTTACGTCACTTATAAGTGACTGTATTGAGCAGTTTCCCCTGCAATGTATCGATGGTCACCTGATTCACGCGTGCGTGTGTCATTACCGCTTGTGTGGTATGAGATTCTCATATTTGGTGTCCGCCGTCGAAGTGTGTCCTCTAAGCTTCCGGGGCCATGATATAAAACATGATGCAGAGTTTTAAAAAGAAAATTCTCAAGTGTTGAATTTAGAGTATTTGGGAGTCATCTGCAAATTAGGAAAGTACTGGTTGCTTTGCAGTGTTAAAATTCACAACAATGCAGCCCAACATTGAGATACCAACAAAGAAATATGCCTAATTACCACGGGGTGTGCAAGTCTTAGGAAATTAGGAAATGCTCACGTCAAGAGAGGCGGTGTCTGGATCTCGTGCCCCAATTGATGACTTGCGTGATGGCAGAATTTATAGTTCAATTTTAAAATATTCACCATCAAGATATAATCACCATGGGGTGAATATTTTTCATACAATTAATTAAGCTAGTTTAATGCATCTGTTCACTGAACATTGCCAGTTCTATGAGACATGTCTCACTTTGGATGGAGGAACTACAGCACTTACTGCAGCATTCGGGGTGTTAATAAACTGAGGTGATATTAAAATCGTGTGCGTGCGTGCGCGCGTGCGTGTGTGTGTGTGTGTCTGACTGAGTATTATTGCTCTCTTGGCCCAGAGGTTTGAAAACTTCACTTACAAATAAAAAAAATAATTCTGTGAGTCATGTTAGCCATTTAAAATGAATTGGGGGTTTGTATTCCCAGCTATATCTTCACATTCATACCTAAACATATAATTATATTTAAATATACACACGTGAATACAACAACTCCTGGCGCCTCTGCCTGTACTGTGAAGTCGTCTGCGGATACTTTCTGCTGCTATGACCTTCTCCCAGCTAAAGGGGGCGCTGCAGGGGCTGCGGCTTCGCCATTGGATGAATTCACTCGGGGGCGGAGTCCCCGAGCGGCAGTTAGCGCTTGATTGACGTTGAAGAAGAAAAAGAACACAAGATCGGATTACAAGATGGCGGTCTGTGGACGTTAGCAAGAAGGCCGTTGGAGTTGTTGTGTTCTTTGTAAAAAAAAATACTGTGTGATAATAGGCCTCCTGGTTGAGTGGTTTCACACCGTGAACGTAATGTGTTTACGAAATATCCACTGATACATTTCACTGCTGTTGTGAACTTTACCGAGTGCGTGTTTTATAACATGCGGGTGGACACAAAGTTGACAAGTCGAGGCTAGGAAAACGCCAGACGGGGGTGAGGTGATAGCTTGTTAGCAGACCGCTAGCCTGCTAGCTCCGACTCGGTTAACTATGTCGGACACACGGCGGCGGGTGAAAGTGTATACGCTGAATGAAGACCGGCAGTGGGACGATCGGGGTACCGGACACGTTTCGTCTACGTTTGTTGAACGTCTGAAGGGAATATCATTATTAGTTCGGGCCGAATCGGACGGTAAGTTACCAGTTAGCACAGCCTCATTGGTGTAACGTTGGCTAGCATTAGCGCGCTAACTTCTGGTAGTTCGGACAATGTTCTGCATAATTTGCCTCTATGTGTACTTGGTTATATTCCTGGGATTGCTTCCTTGAGTTAGCCGAGGCTTTTTATTCTAGCGTTTCCTAGTCGTATGCAGGGCCAGTATTAGCAAAGCTCTGAGATAAAAGGAAATCATTTATTGAATAGCTGCTGCTAGCAAGCTCGTTAGTTTAGCAGGCGAGGTGATCTCAGTAGCATGGGGGCCTTCAAAGTCTTGCCTAAAATGTACAAACTTCCTATAACTCCGAATAGTAAACCGCTACAGGTCCACGCGAAGATCACCCCCCCCCCCCCCAAAATAATAAGATTTGGATAACTTTAATCTAGCTATAATAATCCCTGCCGTTGTTAGTTGAATGCGTACTCCTTTTAAAACGGTTTTTTATTCAGCGTTTCACATTGGCTACTTAGTGTTATAAGCCCTCTGAATGCCGGACATGTTAATTGACCGTAATCTCCAATAATTAGTTACGTTACATCATCGGGTTGTCTTTGTTGTGAGCATTGCCTCGGAGATGAAAAGTTACCCAAGTCTTTGTGTTTTAGGATCTCTACTACTGGAGTCGAAGATAAGCCCGAATACTGCATATCAGAAACAACAGGTAAGAATAGACAATCGGAGTCTGGATTAGCTGCAAAAGGCAATGCCCATGAGTGCCTCAGCATCTTCTTAATCTAATCACTTTCACGTTGAGTCCTGTTGATTGACAGGCACTACTACTCAGATACAGTGCAGACACTGGTGATTCACTATCTGGTCCCAGTGTAAACCCAGTCACAATACCAGTACCCTTGATTTCCAACAACCGTCAGCGCCGTGAGATACATTTGCAACGTGAATGTCACATTGTTTGGGTTAATAAATGAACTGCTGGACAAAGTAACATTTTAAAGGACGTCATAGACTTTAGAACTTTTATGTGTATTCATGATTTTGGTAATGCTTGAGTGTTTCTTTTAAATAAGATAAGTCTAAGTCTTTGTATACAGTTTGATGTTTTCTTTTTCCTCCTACCAGGACACACTGATTGTCTGGTCGGAAGCAGATAATTACGACCTTGCCCTAAGTTTCCAGGAAAAGGCTGGCTGCGATGAGATATGGGAGAAGATTTGCCAGGTAATTTAAATCCAGTTTTTGTTTTTCAAATTTCCTTCCTGGGGAGTAAACAAACTGCAGAGGTTCCGGTTTGCTGAGTTTCATTCACTCAAGAGGCAGTACATTGATCCGTGTAGTTTAATTATTCCCTTCATTTCTCCCAGGTTCAAGGCAAAGACCCTACCCTGGACATCACCCAGGACCCCATTGATGAGTCTGAAGAGGAGCGCTTCGAGGAGATTCCGGAGACAAGCCACCTGGTGGAGCTCCCTCCTTGTGAGCTCAGCCGACTGGAGGAGATTGCTGACCTGGTTACCTCTGTCCTGTCTTCGCCCATCAGGAGGGAAAAACTGGCCCTGGCCCTGATGAGTGAGGGCTACATCAAGAAACTCCTGGGTCTCTTCAGGGTATGCGAGGACCTGGACAACAGGGAAGGTCTACATCACCTCTATGAGATTGTCCGCGGTGTCTTGTTCCTCAATAAAGCGGCCCTCTTTGAGGTGATGTTCTCTGATGACTGTATCATGGATGTGGTGGGCTGCCTGGAGTATGACCCCGCGCTGGTTCAGCCCAAACGACACCGGGAATTCTTGACCAAGACAGCTAAGTTTAAGGAGGTGATCCCCATCACAGACTCTGAGCTGCGGCAGAAGATCCACCAAACCTACCGGGTGCAGTACATCCAGGACATCATCCTGCCCACGCCATCTGTTTTTGAGGAGAACTTCCTGTCCACGCTCACGTCCTTCATCTTCTTCAACAAAGTGGAGATTGTCAGTATGTTGCAGGTAAGGAACCAAAGGGGTGTGTGCGTGTGTGTGTGCGTGTGCGCGTGCATTGAGTTTTGTCCTGTGGCAGTTATTAAAATAAGAAAGAATAAAAATATTTTTTGAAAGGTGTTAAGATCTATTTTATTACATGTACATGGATTTTCTATGTTTAAGTCAGGTGTTTACAATTTGTACAATACCTTTCTATGATGTAATCAGGGTCTTATTTTGCAGCCATCTCATTTCTACATCCTACCATGATGTATTTTAGGGCTAATGAGAGGTTTAAAAATCATGGATTCCCTCAATGTTTTAGAAATGGTTCACTTTTTTTCCACATTTCTTTTGTTAATGGTTGATGATAATCTATAATCAAACGATCAAAGTATAAGTTTTGTATTTTTTTTTTAGCCTTATTATTTCAGCGGCTTGCTTTTTAAACGCCTTTTTCATTTGCCGCAGGAGGACGAGAAGTTCCTAACGGAGGTCTTTGCACAGCTCACAGATGAAGCCACAGAAGACTGTAAAAGGAGAGAGCTCGTAAGTCAAACAGTCTTGTGTGTCTCTGAGGTTAGGACTAAAAAAATGATCTTGCTAGTGTATAATATAAAAGAATTGTCTGATCAATTGTTGCATCTTTTTTTTTTTCCCCCTCTAAATTTCAGGTGAACTTTGTGAAGGAATTCTGTGCTTTTTCACAAACGTTGCAGCCACAGAACCGGGATGCTTTCTTCAAAACTCTGGCCAATCTCGGCATTTTACCTGCTCTCGAAATAGTCATGGTATGTTCTGGCCGTGGTTCATCACACTCTGTTTTAATTATTTGCCTGTGAATCCTCGAACTGTGGAAACATTTTACTGCGCACAATGCCCTCTTTGTTGTGGTCTTTAACTGTCCCGCTCTTGTTCAGGGAATGGATGACCTGCAGGTGAGGGCAGCAGCTACAGACATCTTCTCTTACCTGGTGGAATTCAGCCCCTCCATGGTCAGGGAGTTTGTCATGCAGGAACCGCAGCAGACGGACGACGTAAGCATCTCGACCGCTTCATGTAATCATGTATTGTCCCCAGGTTGATTTATTTGTATGAAATATAGGATGCGGAGTGATCTCCAAACACAAGCTTGTACAGTGTGTCCCTCACATTTTTATAGCTTTGCTGCATACTTTTCACTTAGAAAGTTCATTTTTTCTGCCAGAGAAATTAAATTCTAAAAAAACATTTTTCTTCAACTTTGATAAGTAAACCCTACATTGTATAGTACCTAAATCTTTAGAATGTTATTTTTTGGTAGTGTACGTGTTGCATATTGTGTCACACCGTATCTTTTAAACTTCTTTTAATTCTAATACACCATCAGATTAAACATGCATCATTTTAACTATATTCTGCTGTGTTTTTCTTTTGTCCACAGGATGTTCTGCTTATAAATGTAGTGATCAAGCAGATGATTTGTGACTCCGACCCAGAGTTAGGCGGGGCTGTCCAGCTGATGGGTCTGCTCAGGACGCTCATCGACCCCGAGAACATGCTGGCTTCCACCAATGTAAGCAGAACCCCCACACACACACACTAGCGTTCTAATGGCGGCTGGCAATGGAACCACGTGTCAACGGCTAGACTCGTTTCATTTCCCACAGTCATTCTGCCCCGGACAACCGGAGGCATGCCGACAAGTTGCACTCATCTACTGCTCTTATCAAATCTCACTCTGTTTCCTTACAGAAAACGGAGAAGACTGAATTTCTGAGTTTCTTCTACAAGTACTGCATGCACGTCCTGACTGCTCCTCTGCTGGCCAACACGGCGCATGACAACAACTCCAAAGGTGAGCCGTTGACAGCGACCTGGCATAAACCAGAGTCTCTCTGACTAAGATAAACGGCATGTAACTGATTCACTCTGTGTCGTGGCCTTTCAGATCTGCAGGAGGGATCCACTAAGATCAAACCAGTCTGTCCAGGTGAGTGTTGTTAATTTTGACATCAACCGCCCAAAGGTCAAAAACCGCGACTGGACATTGTTTGTCTTGGCACACATTTTAAGTAACCTTTGCAATTCGGTTTTAGTCACCAGAAAGGCTCCATAATGGCTTAAATAATAAAATAGCGGTGATTTCGTTAATAAATCCCAGCTTTCACATCATAATTGTATCATTTAAAATGTAATAGTTATTAATGACCAGGCTTGTGTTTGTGTAGGAACTCCAAAGCATAGTCCAGTGCTTCAAGTGGGTTTTGGAAAGGTTTCATTGCTCATTGCATTTTATTTCACCTAGACAACTTCCAGACAGCTCAGCTGCTGGCGCTGATCCTGGAGCTCCTGACCTTCTGTGTGGAGCACCACACCTATCACATCAAGACCTACATTATGAACAAAGATCTGCTCAGGAGAGTGCTGGTGCTCATGAACTCAAAACACACCTTCCTCGCTCTTTGTAAGTTCACACACACCGTTCTGCTGCTCTTCTTTTCCTTCTCTAGAAGTTCCATCGGTTGTCCTACGTCATGGATGAACTTTTTCCAATCACCCTCTCCCATTGTGACTAAGCTGTCTGCTCTTACCCAAGGTGCCCTGCGTTTCATGCGCCGGATCATTGGTCTGAAGGACGAGTACTACAACCGCTACATCATCAAAGGGAACCTGTTTGAGCCCGTCATTAATGCCCTGCTGGACAACGGCACCCGATACAACCTCCTCAACTCGGCCATCATAGAGCTCTTTGAGTTCATCAAAGTGGTGAGTCACGCAACAAATGTGTTCGTAGCACTGAAAGAGCATCATGTGTGACGTTTGTTTTTCTTTTTCGCCACCACTTTGTCTCTTTCCAGGAGGACGTCAAGTCTCTCATAGCTCACATTGTGGATAACTTCTACAAAGCACTTGAATCCATCGAGTACGTCCAGACCTTCAAGGGCCTGAAAGGCCGGTACGAGCAGGAGAAGGACCGGCAGAGTCAGAGACTCAGGTCGGTACACTGCTCTCAGTTCCCACTGCTAACTTCATGGAGCGAAGGCAGCTCATTGTAGCTCAGCCTTTTGTTCCTGTGGATAACTGTACCTCATTGAGTAAACCGTTACCACGCAGATATCGTAGAGACGCGCGGCCGTTGGACGAGGATGAGGAGCTGTGGTTCAACGACGACGACGATGACGACGATGGCGAGGCCGTGGAGAAGAGCCGGATGGAGGAAGAGCTCTCCGACAGCTACGGAAAGTACATGGAGGCCAAAAAAGGTAAGCTGCTGCGGGTAGAGTGTCCCTAACCCAGAATGCAACACCTTTTTTGTTAACATTTTGATATTCAAAATGCGCTGCAGGAGCTGCCAACGGCTCCAACGGTGCCAACAACGGGAAAGCTGCTGTGATTCCACCTGCCTCGCCGGCCCTCACCCCCAACAACAGTTCCACTTCCTCTGTCAAGACCGTTGCTCTCCCGGCCACGCCAGCAGTGAAGGTAATGAGCAAGCAACTAACTGCAGCACTCAACAGGGATCTTCAATTTCATTATTATTATTATTATTATTCTGACTTCTCTCTCCATTATTCTGTTTCTCTCCTTGCTTCTACTAGACGGCTATGGTCGGTTTGGTGGACTACCCTGACGACGAGGACGAAGAAGAAGACGAGGAGGAGGAAGAGCAATCTCCGAGGAAGCGGCCCCGCCTGAGCTCTTAAGGCGAATTGCCCTCCGTTCGGTTGCAGTGGGAGCGGAGACTTGAGTCCCTCCCATCCTCCCTCCTCTGGTCGTCTCATTGGTCCCTGGCCTGCCTCAGCCACCTGTCTGTCTCAAAGACGGGCAGAGAGGAGCTCCCACCTCCCCCGGCCCTGGATGGAGGGAGTTTTTCTTGAAATAAAAGACCAGTCAGTCTGTTCCTTCAGCCTGTTTTTACCTCTTTTTATAACGGCCTCCTGTGGCAGATCCCCAAATCCTTCTTTTTTTTTTTTTTCTCCTCCTGAGAGGGAAACTCAGACTCTTTGCAAGCTCACTGCTCCTCTTTCGTAACACTCTCCTGCTCTCCCAGTTCTGACCTCCTCCGTACCGACCAGAGGGGCTTCGGTGGACGTAACGTTGCCACGGCGGTTCCCAGCTCTGTTGCTGTAGCAACAGGAGCAAGGAAGCTACGGTACTACAGGAACCCTCGTGTGTCCTCATTTGGACTCTCCCTTCCATCCATATCCAAGCCAAACCAGTGAGCTGCAAAGGACGAGGAAACCGGACCACAACCAGCCAGTGTACCAGCGGTTCATCGGGCCAGTCAGGCTAGCCGGACTAGCCGCCGTAGTGATAGAAAGCTTGACTGGCTGAAGCAGCGTTCGCTGCCCCGTCACAGAACTGTTGGCTTTTGTCGGGGATCGAGGGGATGTAGGCAACCAATGAAATGTTGAAAGACAAGGGGGGGGTCACAAATGTACCAGGATGAAATAAAAACTTCCAGAGGAGGAGCAGGACTCAAACCTACGAAAGCCATGGTGCCAATATGGCCGTGGCACACACATAAAACACACACGGCATCTCACACACAGGAGTGCGTATGCCAGAAATCCTGTATTTCATGACTTTGTTCAAAAGTACTGTACAGATGTTTTTTTTTTTTTTTTTTTTTTAAATCATTTTCCCTGACCTGATTTTCAAAGGGGAGAGCGAGACCTACCTACTTGTGTATTATTTTCTTTGTTGTTGCACAAAGGGTGGGGGTTCCTGTTCACCCTCTCGGTCCAGTCCATTTGGTTCAATGTAAAATGCAGAGAAGTTGCAAATGCTGGTTTTAACGTATTAAAACTGCAGTAAAGTCATTTTTGCAGCCAACGTTCTGAGGATGACTGGAGTTTTGTATTTTCTAGCGGCCTCTTCGCGATGCACACGTTTCAGTTTGTTTCAGCTGGGTGACACGCCGGAGTAAATTCAGCCCACACTTGTTTAAGACTCTCAGGGTCAGAGTCGAGTTCAGAAACTGGGAGCGACCCTCCATGTCGGAGCTGTGCAGTGCTGCTACCGGTTGAAAGGTGGAGGTGGAGGGGGACTCAAGGTGCCGAGAGCTTTGATCTCCAGTTGATCTTTGGCCTGTTACGTGGTGGTTTTTCCGCAGGTTTGAGAATTTTCACCCAGGAAGGGGAGGAGTCCCGTTAACCACAATGCCATATCGCACAGACGTGAGCAGCAGGAACGGAGCGCTGTAACAATATTATTGCCAATAATGTGCTTTCCAGGAGTCCAGCGAATTGTCTCTCCTCCTGTTAGTGTCACCCAAATATTTGACTGTTTTGTCCCTCCTCCTCCGACGAATTTGTACCAAGTGCATTTACTACCACTATCCATTCTTAACATTTGTATGAATTCATTTGATAAGTTTTGAAATTAAATGTGACCCTGACATTGAATTTGTAAATCTGGCCTTTTGTTGTAGTAATTTACTGCTCTGGCAATTATATCCACAAAATAATTTTTCTGATTATCTCAAATCCAAGTGGTTTTTGATCTTTCCAGTATTGCGGTACTAAGGGGAGAACTATTTGTACACATTTCTGAGCCCGGAATCGACTTGATCTGTTTGTGCCACAGTACAAACGAGAACACATGCTAGTTAATCCCCATTAACTCTCACTACCCAGATTAGAACCAAAGATCAGCGTGAGACCTGCTAGCTAAATGAGGGCTGTAGATTATAACCACACACACAGTCGGGTTGAGCTTGTTCCTATAGAATGATTTTTATTAAACAACATACGTGAAATACTGCATTTTCTCGTGGAAACCGACGCACCGTTCCTGCGATCACACGAGCGAGCGTGGGTTCATCTCGACAACTTCCCTGGTGCTCTTTGGCAACGATGAGCATGCTAATCTAACCTTAACCTGAGCGCAAAACTCCTGGCACGTCTCTCCACGGTCACTAGCGGACTCTGATGAGCTCAAACATTCTCCATCGCTCTTCATCTTGGACCGATCAATGCAGTTACGTAATCAACATCTGTACTATCAACAGCGCAGCGGCGCGTTGTTAGTGATTTACATGTGGAATTTGGACGAGCTAAATAAAGTAAATGAAATGTAGTGCGGCGAACAAGGAGCTCTCTGGACACGGGTGTGTCTAGTGGTGTAAAGTTAAAGCCATCTGGGAATCTCACATGAGTGGAGACGGCCACGTCCGAAATATTAAAGGACGTGTACCTTCTTCCCCGCGGCGATGGAAGAGACGGAAGATCTCGTGACGTTTGTGTTTCGGGAAACCCCTGATCGGCGTAGGTGAAAGATCTGGTCGGACGTGGCGGCGTGAAGGAAGCTGTGCGTGATTAACAAAGCGAGCGGACGCCATTTGGAATATTGCAGTTATTTGTTGATCACTTCCTCTTTCAGCTTGTCGGCCAGATGTTTTCTCTTCTGCAGTTTCTTCCTCTCCTCAGCAGATATCTCCTGCAGGAAGAATCGAACAGAGAAAAAAAATCACCGGCAGTGGCTATTGTAGCCAAGTATGGCTGTGCGACACGTGTATTGTCGGCCTTGTTTACAGATCTAAAGAGGACGTGTTGATGAATTCAAATACTAATGAGCCCTAATTCTCTAAAAGGCTGCGATCTGTTCCTTCTGCTGCTCTTAGGGCGCTTGTGACAGAGCCAGAGGCAGTTGATGGATCACCTTCTGTTTGGAGGAGTTAGCAGCGTGTTGTGCTGGAGGAAGAGGAGCAGGAGGAGGAAGAAGAGGAGGAGGGGTACAGGCCCCATTCCTCTGGGACTGGCCCAACGTCTCCTGACAAGCCAGATGCAGGCAGGGAGAAATGAAGAGCGGCCGCCCCCCGAAAAATAAGGTCGACGGGGGAGGTTTGAAGAAAAAGAAAGGAAAACGAGGAGGAATGTGGGTTAAAGGAAATCATGTGAAATCAAGAAAGGTGTTTAGAAAATGAAAGAATGTAATGGATATGAAGTGTAAATCATAAAGCCCTGTCACAACTCCTTGCAGTGATTACTCACACACAAATCACAGCCAGTGGAACCGTGAAATGATCCGTAGCCTGCTTTTGCAACTTATAGGACAATATGAGGAAAAAACTAGTTGATCACAGCCAACATCACCAGCCGCGTTGTGCTATCAACGGGGGAGGGAGGTTTCAAAAAGGAAGCTCCAGGAAGAGGCGGCACTCACTGGGACGGCGGCGGTCGCCTCCCCCGGTGGGGCCGCCGGCGTGGCGGGGGTCTCCTCCGGTGGGGTCCCCTGCTTGCTTCTCTGCTGTTCTCTCTTCAGCGCCTGCAGCTTGTCTCGCTGCTGCCGCAGGTATGCCGCCCTCTGCTGGAGCTGCTCCTGCTGACACATGGTCAACTCCTGGGAAGGGAAGGAGAGCGGTTCAGCGAAAAACATCAACCCGCTCGCGTTCATCAAGTGCCGTTCAGCGCGTTGACAGGGGGCTTCCGAGTTTGTGCTGCAATGAGAGAAGAGGGAGGACGGGCTCACGGTGTACGGCTGGGAGAAGCCCGCCCTCCCCTGTGCGCCCTCCTCTAGACACGCCTTCGGCTTGCGCTCCGGTCGTCTCCCGCCGGCTCGGCTTCTTGGTTGCTCCGGGAGCGAGGTCTCGCGGAAGTCTTTCACGGCTTTTTACCGGAGCTCTCACGGCTGAAAGGACTCGGGACTCCACACCATTACTGCCACAATCTGCACACAAACACACACACACACACACACACTTAAATTGGTTTGATAATTTGCGGCTTTCTCAGTTTGGTTGTGTTTTTATAAAAATGGCACCATAAAATAATATCAGTAAACCAATAATTGGCATGTAAAGGATTTAAGAGAGCAACCATACAACACAATTCATCTATGAAATAAGTTTAATAATAAGTCTTTAATGTGGATCTATTCAGGGTTTTCTCAAGATGAAATAAGACAAAAAGAGTGGCAAAGTGAGGGGGGGTTTGGGGCTGTGCTGAAATACCTGGTGGGGGTTTCGACGCTGAGCTGTGCTTAGCTGCACCTTTTGTAGCCCCTCCTCCGGGGGCATTCGTCCGGCTTCCTGCTTTAGTGACGGATTTCCCGTTAACCTGGAGGAAAAGAGAAAAACATATTTTACCTCTTCCCTTTTGTTTGGGCAAGATTGTTTTGGTGCAACATGTTGGATCAGGCATCAGCTGTCAAATTCAGCCCACTATTATATAATGCTGATACTGCTCATGCTGAAATATGTTGATTTATTGCTACCACACGAGCAACCAGTCACAGGAACTGCCCCCCCCTCCCCCCTGTATAACCGTAAACCCTCAAGATACACTGATACTTTTGAATATCAAGCCATCACTTGGGTGCCGCACCGCTGATTCACATATATTCAGTTTGTCGTGTTGTTGCTTTGTGCGTGTGTTTCACGCACCAGATTACCAGATTAAATTCAGTGCTTCCGTGCACTGGCGGGACGCGGCTGCTGTCACCGCCCCACTCAGCTTGGGACTGTCACGTTATAAAAAACAATATACATGTAACAGACACAACCATCACGCAGGGAACGCCATCTTAGGTCACATGATACCTCCAACCCCAAAAACAACGTACAGTTATTTTTTGTGCGATTAATGCTTGGAATTTGCTACCTCCTGTAACTCATACGGGTAAGATTCTGTCAAAAACGATTAAGGGCCTCGGGGCCAATAACCACGGGGCGTTTTCCATTGCTTTTGTCATCTGATCCTTCTTTCTAAATTGCGGATGCCCTCGACAATATACATCCTGGTCCTCGACTGCACTAGATATCTGACTGAGTTATTGGTTATTATTTTTATTGTTATATTCTGTTTGTACTATTTTTAACTGCGTGGAAGCTTAGCGGCCGCTAAGGCTTCAGCTAATGGGGATCGAGTAAATAACACTAAACAAATGTCTGACCTTGCCAGCGTTACTTAGTTGGCGTGGCGCTGTGGAGGTAATCTGGGCTTCGCGGTTTTCTGCCGTTGGCTTATCAGAGCAGCTGCTGGAAGCGGAGCCGACGTCTTCATCTAAAAGCTCCCGCCTGGACATTTCCTCATCATACTCCTCTTTTGACTTCCTGAGAAAGAAAGAAGCAGGAGGAAGTAATGAAATATCACATCAGTGATCAATGGCTCACAGTCTGAAGTTTTCCTTGAGCAGCCCAGGTGTGATGAGAGCGAGGTTAATCTACAGTTAAGCAGGTTCTGCTCCGCTAGAACAAGACAACGACGTCAGGTGACAACCAAAATATGCCCTCACTTGCTCCTAGGAAGCACCGGAGTGACACACGCACATCCTTTAATTTGATTTATTTAAGCACCTAATTTGAATGGGAGTGGAATGCTGCAAAGTGTTCTGCAGATAAAAAGGACAGTCAATAAAGTAAGTGCTCACACTTACTCAAATGGAGCCAGATGGGGCTATTAACAATATACGGCAAACAAGTTTGTTCATTTCGGAATTAAATTAAATTGAACAAAACTGATTGGATGAGAGTGTAGCTGTGACTGTGCATTGTGAAAAAGACTGTGAGGATTTATATCATATCACCATCAATTCACATGATCCAAAAACATTTGGAATGTCAATTGAGGCTAAAACTGTACCGTCAAATGTTACGTAACAACGAAATAGTGAAGATCCGGAGACAGGATTGTGTCAGTTTGCAGCACCTGAGAAAAGCCTTTTGATAAATTATATTGTTCATTCTACCAAACCTCGTAAACCATTTCATGGTATGGTGTCATTGATTGGCAACGCAGTTTTGTGTCAATCCCTCCAATCTAAATTTGCAGGACTCTAAGGAGCTTTATTACGGCCCCATTAGGCTCAATGTGTTCTACTTGGCCAGGCTGCAACTTGCAGAATCCCATTAGAGAGCAGGAGCTCCCTGACACCTGGACGCACGACGGCAACGGAGGCGCAGAGAAACCGTGGAAATATGTGTGTATGTTGGGAAGAAAACTATGACCTAATTACACGATGACTGAATTCATTAAATAGTAAACAATTAAATGAAAACAAATCTACGGACCTAAACTGTTTTACAGAATTTGATATTTCAACTTAAAAACGTCAATGTTCTATCTACTTTAGTAGGGTTTTGCAAGAGCAATGAAATACTATTAATTGTGAACTTCATAAGAGGTTGAAAATTGCAAGATCATATCTGCATGTCTACATTTGACTTACTTGAGAACCTCCTGCAGGATTTTCATCTCTTGATCCTGCAACTCCGTCATCACGTCCATACCATCGGTCAGACACTCGGGGAGGGCCCCTGCACACAGAGCAGGCGTATCACTCCCAGCGGTTTGTTTGTTTGTTTGTTTGTGAGCATGTGCCATGGCGGGTGATTGTGCGTGTGTGTGTGTGTGTTATGATCTGGCCTACCGTTCCTTTCTTTAATGACTCTGAGGGCTTCAAGCTGCAGCTCCATGTTCTTCTGGACCATCATGGAGTGAAATATTTGGAAGTCATCTGTAGCCAGAACCGTCTGGAACACCGACTGAATGAAAAAAAAAAAAAAAAAAGCACTTATAAGACCACGAAAAAGTAATGATGATTGAAGATGCTGCTTGGGTAAGACACTATGCATGGCCTTTTAAAGGTTATGTTCTATACGTAAATAGAACATATCTAAATTTGAGATAAATGTATCACAAATAGGTCCGTCCTAATTGTGCTGATTCATAAGGAAAGGCACATCTGCCTTGAAAAAAAAAAGATATATATCAGCATCTGTGCGGCAGCATGGCTGAGGGGGGGGGGGTGTTATGTAAGCAAAATCCCTTTCCTGGATTCTCTGTTCAGGTAAACTGGCAGGCGATCAGTGGCTCGCGAGCAGTACTTTTATGTACCTGCAGTGTTTTGGACTTGGGCGAAAGGAGAAGTGCACGCATCCAGAAACTGCTGCTCGTTGATGCCGACCTCCTGCATGTAATTCCCCAACAGATTCTCCACCTGCAAAAAGCAAAGCAGCTTACGTCAGTCGTGCTGACCACCGATGAGTGATGTGCGTGAGGCAGATGGACATTATACTCACCATTGTCTTATACTGCTGGTGGATCTCTGTGTACGACAACTTATTCTCATCTTCGTCATCAAAGACTAAGAAAAGGACAAAGTAGAAACTCAGACACGTTGTTAAGTTCATATTTGTACTGTGCCACACAGGAGACATCTGGATACCTTTTGCAAACTAGCTTCATGAAGTTCCCTTGTTGGTAGCTCGGTCACGCTGGCTAGCTACCAGACTTTAACTCAGCGGTACCTTTACTGAGTTATTACTTACTGACTCAAAGGGACGTGCATTGAGTGAAATGCCGAGCGGTTTAGTGGCGAGAAAAAGCCTAAAAGCTAAAAACGTGCGAAAAACAACAACAACAACACCAACAAAGCAGTAGCTTAGCTTAGCCGCCGCGCTAACGGGGCGCTCCGCTTCCACAGACGCGTCGCCGAGGAGCCCCGGATGGAAGGCGTTCTTACCTGTGCATTTGTTTTCCATAAAGTCCGTGACGGGAACGACCCATTCGGGGCTCCCCAGGTATCCAACGATGCTCTCTACCACCCACTCGCTGTCGTCCTCAGCCATGTTGGCTGCCGCCGAGCAGCAAGAACCACCGCAGCAACAACAACAACCGCACCAGCACAGCGTGGTCCGTCAGGTCGGCCACAGCACGCGCATACACCCCGCGGACGGACGGGAAGAGACATCTAGGTGTGTGTCCGTCCTGAGAGAGTCGCCATCGATCCCCTCAGTGGTGGTTTTCACCCTCTCTTGACGGGACGGGACCGTCTCCGGGAAGAAACAGCACACTCGTGGATCTGCGGGCCCCGCGATGGTGACGCTTAATCGGTTGTCAAGGTTACCGCTACGTCATTCCGATGCCCGGGACAAGTATAATAAATAATATCGGGCCCTGTGGTCCGCTGTGTCTGTTTCACTTTATTTCATGCATTATTCTTCAGCTGTAGTTGGATGATGTTGAGCTAAATTGAAGAATTTTGTGTATTACAGACACTACTAAAAAAACGAATGCATTTCCGTATTAATTGATTTAAAAAAAATAACAACCACCCTTTGCCCAAGAAAACTATTAAAATGTGTTTTCCTTTTGTCGAACTTAATAGTTCAAAACATCAATATAACAAAAAAAATTAATCTAAATTGTTAAAATAATCCAAATAAAAGTGAGCAAACTAAAACTATACATCACAGTTACATCATCAGTAACTAGGAAAGTGCTATATTTACCTCTGAATAGAAACATTGAATCACATTCAAATAGGAAAAGAATACAGAGAGGTGTTACAAAGTTATTGAGTCCAGGATGGCTTTAAATCTCTGAATGATGTCTAACATCCCACTTCCACTTGTAATGTGGTCTAAGCTTTAATCCCAGCGATGTGAGTGTGCTCAATCAGGCAGATATTATTCATTCTTTCTTTTCTTCATATTCCCGGAGGTGGATGAATGCTTCTGTTCTCAGCCAGGCACGCAGGGCCTGACAAACCGCCGCAGTGTGATGATATTCTTGTATTAAGAAAGCACAAGTCACTTATACTTAAGCACAGAAACACACACACACAAAACAGCACTAAATTGTTATTTTTTTTATTAATAGTAAAAACATAGCGCTTATATAATTCAGTAGTGTGCATTGACAAGGGTATTTATTAAATATACATTCCTTCCGTATTTTTTAAAGGTATATATGCTTTCATTAGTATCGCTAGAAAGGCTACTGTGCACACTACATAAAGGCCGGGCATGCAATCATGCCAAAACAGTTCAATAAAAGGTCGGCAACGTTAAAGAGTTTCATGGTGAGTATTTCAATTGAATATTCCTTCAGTGTACGTTGAGCTACATCAACACCATCTTCCCTTCTGACTTCAAGAAAACAGAATCTTTCACATAGAAATCAATGCAAACTGTGCAGTTCTTTTTTGTGTGAGCGGCAGACAGTAATTCAGAAACTATCGTTTTGCTTGGATTTTATAATTCGCATAATGCAGATTATAAAACTTTGGTGATTAGTAGTGTAGTCCTGGTCCCTGCTAACTGGAAAACAGTCCCTGTTTGTAAGTATCAAAATACTTTGCAAACAAAATAATCAAATAATACGCACAAAGACTTGGGCACAGGTAGCCTCAGCCCCTGTGTAACAATCAAAGACAATAACAGCTGCGTAAAGTAGTGAATCTGACTCCGGATCAGTTACATCACCAGTAATAGAGTCTGTTGACGTTGTGCTCCACAAGAAACCATGTGGACGTCGTTATTGAGATAATGCTCAAGTTCTACTCACTCGAGTGGGGAAACGTTCTAGAAATGAAGACAGACGATTGTGTTCTCTCCATGTAAGAGTTGGAGACAGTGTGTGTTGGGGCACTCATACAGCAGCATGAGGAAGTTGTTTTTTGTTTAATGCATATTGACATCAATTGTTTTTATTGATGAATACTTGAATGCCGTATATTTAAACTATTCTTAGTGCAATATGTGTAACACTCTTCCAATCAACATCATTTGGATTGAAAGATAAGCAGGAAAATCAGTTCAATCATCCCATGCGACTAGCTTTTATACATTTCATACGAATTGACATATAAACAGCACTTTGAAAAATGTGATTAAAAAATGCCTTTGTTCCTCCTTCTCGTGACATTCTCCAGATGGCAGCATTTATCCGTCGTGGCCAGATTACAGTTGTCAAGTGGTGTGTGTGTAAGGATGATAAGAATGATGTATTATTGTTGCATTGAATGGGTTAATATAAGGTAAAATATACTTAAAATGTTCATAAAAAGGTAAAAGTTAAAAGGCACTAATGGTCTGTAGATCAGTGATTCATTGTTCGGTGGTTTAAGTTTAGGTATCAGTGCAATCAGATTGATTGCTAATGCCTCATTCAGGGACGATCTGTGAGCGATTGCTAATGCCTCGTTTTGCCTATGAACGGAGCGTGTGGCGTACGGTCGTTCATTACAACTATGGCCGACACTGAGCTGCATCGTGTCCGTGTCGTTTGTCATATTTCCTCTTTTACAGGTAAGAACGAGTGTTGTATTAGGGTTGATCAATGTATATATGTGTTTCAATACTGTAAGAAACATGCGGGAGTAGATGTTAATGATGGTAATCATCTAGCAGCTAAACGTGAAGAAGTGTTCATCTAGTGTAGCGTGCATGCTAGCTGTGTAGCACGTGGCGTAGCCCGTGGGCTGGGCTCAAAGCGGGACGTAATAGAACACCGCAAGTGCCGGTTTCTCTGTGTGTATTTGTTTTATATTATAAGGATAAGGTAAAAGTGTTAGTATCGTATAAGCTAAAGAGAGAGTGTTTAATGTGAAAAGGAAAGAGTCTTGTACTTTTTTTTCAAGGTTATTTTCCCATGTTGTTTTATGATGTTGCAAACATATTTGATATTTTGGTAACTCACTTTAAAGACTGGTTCAGGTCATTTGAGTAATATGGAGCCATAACTGATCGAATTGTATTTGTCTTAATTGTATAAGCTCTTATAAAGACATTACCGCAAAGGGAAAATAACATGTTTAAGTGCGATACTGAGTGTATAAATGTGTTATTATGCTTTTCATGTTCATTACAACTATGGCCGACACTGAGCTGCATCGTGTCCGTGTCGTTTGTCATATTTCCTCTTTTACAGGGGCGTAACATGTGTCTGTGAGCCCTGTTCGTACAATAGGAGAATGTGTTATCATGCACGTGTGTGACTGACACTGAGTCTGTGTGGCGGCTTTTGTAGCACAAAAGAGCAGCCACGATTAGTGTATGCAGAATACTGCTGGTACCCACCAAACACATGACATTTTTCTGGTCAGCTAAACCTTGTTTCCCAGCAGAATGAAATGCTTTTCCCGCTCGGAAGATTTTAGTTAGTATGTTTGCCTGATTCCTCGATGAATGGCTTTGGAAGTTAAAAAAAATCTTCCTACATAACCAACACAAAAAGCTTAGTTGTAAAACGCTGCGTTCAGAAGAGCTTAAAGGCTTCAAACTAGCATGCAATCATTCAAAATGCAAATAAAAGTCACTGCAGGCTTTCAGTCAAAAGTAAATTCTTCCATGCTAACAATCATGTATTTATCTCCACACGGTAAAGGTAATATATTTTCAGTAAAAGTCAAAAGATTACAGGCAACAACTTCCTTGAGGTTAATCTGCAGAAACCACAACTGTCGAGCTCTGATAAAAATTCTTTGCATTGATTTGTTTGACAGCAAAGACCCTCTGGTTCTTTCTGCTATTCAATCAATAACTCACAAGTGCGTTCAAATTCTCTCAAATTTGTCTCATCGTCCAACGTTTTGTCTGTTTGAATTGGAATGATTAAATATGAGGATCCTTCCTCCTCCAGGGAAACCTACGTGTAGATTTTAAATGGCGGCTACTGATTGAAAACCCCACGCCAGGGTACATTTGGCGTTATGAAATGAACACAGCGTCATCTTACTCAAATAAAAAAACTAAACATCTGGAGGTACACATGGTGCTGGGTGGAGCTGGATTATGGAACGGCTGTCGGTGCCGTGTTTAGTGCTTCTGGTGTTGAGATCCAGACACGGTGGACATGATTTACACTCAAAATGAGTTAAGAGGTGGTTTCCGTGACGGGACCAACGGTGAAGCTCATCACTCTGTGTGTTCTTTGTGAAATTAAAATTTTCTCTTGTCAGTGCAAACGCACAGTAAATTATTTAGAATACTGGTGGAGATAAATAAGCTACTACACATGTATCCACCACCAATAGGAGTACAATAAGGCTGTGTAATTCTTCCAATACTTTGGAACGCATCTTTAATGCTAAACGTCCTCGCTGCTTTTCCTTCTCTGCATAGACATCCAGGCATCTTTCCCCCTTTTGAAGGGGCGTAAAGGATGACTGCCACACACAGCTAAAGTGACGAAGATTTAATCTGTTTCCTTTTCTTCAAAACAGAAAAAGGTTGCAACAAGGAGTGAAAAATAATTAGATAAGTAGTAAGGTAGTAAGTTATCATTACTGTGTATTAATCAGTGTTTCTTTGCAACCCAAATGTTTTGGTCTCATTCTTCAAAAGCGACTTTACTTTCATTTCTGGCTTCTTCCAGGGAACACGATCCAAGTCCTTCAAAGCCAGCGCCGCCTAAATCTCAAAAGCTTTTTTCAAAACGGAAACATTGAACTGCTACAAAGACCTGTTGGGTTGAGTCCATTGCTGCTGGAAGGTCTCACCGCCGTGCTTCGTGGTCACAGGGACCCGTTAAAGGTTTCTCTGCTGCCGCTGCTTTCGGCCGGCTGGCTGTGTGGATCCGTTGGATCGTCGCGGTAAACACCTTTGACTTGTACCCGTCGGTCGTCGAGGGGACTCGTTTTGTCTCGTCCCCTCTCTCGGTGGCTGTCGAGGCTTGGCGCCGGCCCGTCGGCCTTGCCTTGGCGACCAACGTTGCCCAGTCTGTCGTCATGGTGCCTCGTTTTGACTGGCGTCTGTCTGACGTCTTTGCGGTTGTGTCTCGTCGGTGGCGGCCCGTCGTCGGGCTGGCCCGCTCTAATAGGCACCGGTTCGTCGTGGCCGGCGCTGACCGGCGCGTTGACCTGGCGCTTGTTGCAGACGGGGATCTTATCGGCCTGCAGCGAGTGGGTGTAATGGGAAAACCAGTCCCTCTCGAAGACAGCTTTCAGCTGCTCCACCACCGTAGAGTTTCTCTCCTCGATGCCCTGCGGCTGACTGATCACCAGGCCGGCTCCCGCGTCAAAGGTAAACTCATTCCCCACCCAGTCCAGGTTACCTTTCGGGTCGCGGAGAAGGAAGAAGAAGAAAGCTCACAACAACTAATCCCAGTGTGAATCGCATATGCACACTAATGTCTAAGCAACGACGTGTAGTTGAAATCCACATGAGGTGAGAAGAGAGACGTCAGACATACAATGTAGTCGATGGGCTCACCTAAATATACGTCTCTATCCGTCACCATGAACCTATTGTGGTTTACTCCCTGGAGACTGCCGTCGCTTCTCACTCTGGGGTTGAAGAACCTCTACACACACACACAAACACACACACACACGCACACACGCGGTGCAGCATTGAGCATCGACAAAGCGTATCCGTAGATTTATAAAATAGCACACGGTGTACTCACAGCCTCCAGTGAGCAGTTGGCCTGATCCATGCACAGAGTCCTCAGGGACCACAGGAAGTTGGAAGTAAGCGGATGAGTCTTTTCCCAGCAACTTATCAGCAGACGCACCCGGACCCTCCTCAGGATCAGAGCCTCCCGGATGAGACTGTCGATGCGGGACCAGTACCTTGGGCCGGGGATACAAACGCAGTTGGATCACATGAGCCCAAGCACACAAGCTCTAAATGAGGAATATCAAAGGAAAACCGCACGGTGGATCTAACCTGTGAGCACTGCGGCTGAGGAGGGGCAGGTAGTCGATGATGGAGATGTATATGAAATGGCGGGCCTCCTGGATCACCCTGGAAATGGCTTCAAGGTCACTGCTTCGATGTTTGGGGATGAGAACTTCCGGGGAGCTCTAGGAAGAGGAAGGAGAGTGATCGCTGGCGTTGAGAGGATGCACAGCCCCTGACTGTGTTCCCCTCTACGGAGAAATGGAAGATCAGAGCATCGTGCAACCAGACCAGGGATAGCACAGAGATTCTCCTTTACAGATTCAGGTTCTGACTTAGATGGAAGGTTTTCTTTTCACCACATAAAAACAACACATGCATTTTTAAAAGCAAAGTAACAAAAAAGTAGGCCTCCTAATGGTTTGGTATATTAACCTTATCCAGGACACATCAATTAGGTAAAAACAGAGGTTACAAACTAGGCGGTCACTCACTGAGACGTAGGCCTGAGCCTTTGTTCCGTTCAGAGTGAGCTCCAGTGGTGCGTCCCTGTTAAAGAGGGCAAAGACGCGCTTGGACCAGAAGGAGGGGATGAAGTCTCTGTACTGGAGCCCCCAGTAGAGGCTGAACACTTTGTGGAGGTCCAGAGCCAGACAGCTGCAGTCGAACACCAACACGCCCAGTTCCTTTCTCTGCAGGACGGACACAACCTCCGTTAGGTGACCCCGAGCCCATCGCTGTACTCAATATTATGGTCACAGAGCTGCGAAAATGAACTCCGTGGTGTCCATGGGACTAAATCTCATGTGAATCTATTAGATGCAAAAAGACAACAAAGGGCTGCAGCTGTCTGCTCACATTCAGAAACTACAGGGCGAAGACTGTGATGTTGCATTTGTTTACATGTCTCTTAGCATGCACACGTTTAAATATGAGTGTGTGTGTGTCTGTCGGTGAGTTTTGGATACTGTGGCAAGGGATCTCCAGTCCATGCTGGCGCTGCCGATGTAGATGTGTTTCCTGTCAACCACCCAGAAGGAGGCCTGAAGGCGGCCGTTGATCAGCGCTGTCGTGTTCATGTAGTGGACTTCAGCATCTGGAATTAGAGGAAGGAAGTTACGAGTGAGGACAAAGAGGCATCCGGGCCGCGGACAATGTTCAACAAGAACACGAAACACAAAGGCAGATGGAGGGAAAGACAGAAAGACACTGAGAGATTTACAGGACAAATAATGAGAAGACCCAGTCATGTTTGAATGAGACACACAGCTTGTATGAAAACGCGAGGGGGGGGGGCGGGGCTAACAGTGTTTGGCGAGCATCTCGAGCTCAGTCGAGTCGATCATGCCGCTGGAGATCTTCAGCTGGATTCCTTTAGCTTTCAGGCCTTGCAGCCTGGACAGCAGAGCCCTGCCCTGAGGGAGACACATGACAACGTATCAATACCTGCTGTGTATCCTTCACTGTACGTTTGATTCAATGCCGTGGCTTTGTCCTTTTTCAAGTGTCATGTCTGTATTCTTCTTTTGTTTTGATCAAGTATTCATATTTGTGAGTGACGCTCATGTCTTTGGCCGGTCAGCTACCTGCAATAAATCAATTAGCTTAACCGATGTTGACAGTAATGTACAAAGACGGATATAAAGAGACATGCAGTGCAAATGCCTGCTACTGATATCTCCACCTTCACGTCTTGTGACTTTGCTGTTCCAGATGAGTTGTCTTTTTTGGTAGAAAATGAATGTTTTAAGCTGAGACTAATATTTTACTAGTGTGTAAATCTGCAGAGACAGTTTTTAATTTCCTGCTCTGATAATCATTTTCAATTTGCCCTCCTGCCATTTAGCCTATTGTCTCATTTGGCTGAGGAAAGGTATGACGAATATGACACGTGGTTGGCGCGTCGTCTCCTTGATGGCATGTGGATCCAAACAAAGGTCAAAACTCCATGTTGGAAAGATAATGTAAATAACGTGTTGCACATCAACTCATCTTGCATGTATTATCATCCGTGCTGGATATTAACAAAGTTAAAACAAACAAGCACTGAAACCCTTCAGGATCCTAGTGCTTCTCCTACACCTGATTATCACACAGAGGAGCCAAAGGCTACGAAGGAGAGACAGAGACCTGTCTGGCGGCCGGCTGGAAGCTGGATTCGTAATCGGAGGAGTTGAGGAGCCACAGCGGAGAAACTATCTCCACGACCCTGATGGCTCGGTCCAGCAAGTTGTACAACCCCACCAAGAGAGGGAGATTTGATGTGGCGTTGTCTAAGAAGGAGATGTCCTCCGGGATGTTCTCCACAAGCACCGATCTGCGGAAAATAACAAGTTAATTAGAAACACAGTAAGAAAAAAAGGATCTGCCTTATAAAATAAGATGAAAGAGAAGTTCATTAGGCAGAGCCTTAGTGACCTGCTAACAGAGAAATGCTGCGGAAATGAATTTGAGGCTTGTGTTCTGTTTGCATTTGTGGCAGAATTATTATGAGCTTTGAAGCCACTAATATGAGGTTTTATTCCTTCCGTTGTACGACTGACAAATTAGCCGACAGGACCCCCCCGTCCCCCCACACTGGATCATTAGTTTAACGAGAAGCTTCCCGATTCCGTGACCACGCGTGGCCTCTGATTCCACCAAGCGTCATTAAATGTTGTGCAGACTTCCTCCGCCCGGGGCTGACGATCCTGGAAGCTTGATGGGCGCAGTTGTCAGCAATGTAGATTAAATTATACCTAGTCAGGAGGAAGTGACTGTTTTTTTGCTGTGTCCTTGTTGTTTTCATGTACACACTAGTCCCTAAGCTATCACACAGGGCATTAATGTAACCATCAGCATTCTGATGTAGTATGATACACTACAGCAAGCACAGCGGAGGAAATGTCAATCTGTACGATGAGAGAAGGAACTTCCTTGAGAAGCTGCAGCGTGTGTTTCTCTTTATCACAATTCTGTCTCATCAAATTAAAAGGTGCCTATTTAGTTGTTTTGCAGCATAATGTTTTGTGCGTATCGCTGTGAATATCAATGTCTCTGGCCAAGCATGACTGTGAGCTCCACTAATGTACCTCCAGGTCCCGTTTCACCCGTCCACGGTGCCTGCAAGCAACAGAGGCATTAGCGCTGGAGTCAGCTGACTGGATCGGCCTTATTGTCAAGCTCACCACATGCTCGCTGCCAAACGGCAACATTTAATAAGAGAAATAAAAATGGAGATAGGATGTTCACTGAGCGTGAACTCTGGTACAAATTCTGGTACAAATTCACCCGAATGGTCGATTCGTTTTCTTATTAAACGTCTTGGTTGGACACATGTAAAAGTCTTGGGCTGCTAGACGATAACTACTGTGAAATATCAAGAGATGATAATTAATGATGCATCCAAATATTTGCTTGGTTACACTGAAAATATGAATTACTGGATTTTGTTTTTGTTTTTTTTCCAGAATTTCAAATTTGGTGCTTCACTGGTAGCGTTCAGTGGATTTATCATAGACTTTTCTATAAAAACTGCTAATACTCCTCTAGCTGCACAATGGAGATTGTGTGTAATCCATAACAACATTTAACGAGTTTAAAGGGAATGAAAGTTATGTTATCACAAAGTGCAGTGTGACCAGGGCTCCAACCCATCTTAGCACTGGGATCATTTAGACCTGAGCTGTGAGCGCCCGGTGTCAATCGAGTGCTTCGCTCAAGGGCACGCCGGTGCGTGCAGGTGATAATGCACGCTGCTTCCCATTCAGCAGCCAGTTGCCAGCTCGCAGCTTGAAAAGTTTTTTCCTGGCCAGGGTGAAGACAAGTCAGCATTTGGAAAGCGGCCGAGGGTCAAACTGTAGGACTCACACCTCGTGTGTTCATAACTAGGCTGATGAATTGACGGTCAACGCGTTGTGTGGAGCAGAGTTTTGGAGAATCACAAGTAAATTCATTGCGCGTGTGTTGCTGAGGTTGGATTTCCTTCCACAAAGCATACGGCTTTAACGCGACAAGAGGAGAGAAACAAGATCCAAACAAGCCAAAGCAGTGGCCTGTGACGACGTCGTGGAGAAGATTAACGTTTGCAACGCTTTGTCCTGAAGACAGCAGAAACTAGGACATCTGCAGTGGAAACCCCAGCGAGAGAGGCTGCCGTCTCTGTTTGTCAGGTTCAATGTCAACCAACCGCCCCGGTATAAAATCCGCCATCAGGAAAAAGCCAATTACACGTGTAAAAAGCTGCGTTCCTGCTGCACCGGTCGTGAGCCGTGTCAGACCCTGACGTCTGATATAAATCATCCCGCGTCTCATCAGCTTAGTGAACAGCAGCCAGGACATTCATGAGGTATCACAGGTGGCTTAATGCCACGTTCATCGCCCACAGGAGGGACAGTGATGTCATAGTACGCACACTATGTATGTAAATCTATTCTTGAGTTCTATTACTTGATGGATGAGCCACTTAATGGAATGTTTCTTTCTCCATGATTCTCCCATGATGTCTGAACGTAAACTGCACGTGTCTCATTTATCACTTTTTTTTCCATTTCTGTCTGGACGGCTTTCTTGGATGTTCCGTGACAGTTTGACCAAAGGCCAATGCTTTTCCACCACTTTAAAAAAACAAAGTATTCCCACAGTTAGCAACAATATGCCAACGGCGTCAGACTGTGTGTGGAGGGACGCTGCAGTTCCTTGACTTAATTCCTGACTAACAACATTATCACTCACAACTACCAACATTTTACAAACTCCGGTGCTCCTTCTGTGGAGAAACGTTCTAACAGAAACATCTTAGAGCACTTATGACGGTTTTAAATCCTATCATATATAAATAAAACATGTTGATGTATTAACTTTCATGTGTGGTAGACTAATGCTCAAATTCAAGATCTCGACGTTGCATCGTGACGCAGTTGAAATTCCAGAAAAGCGCTAAAAGCAAATTGATGTGAGAATGTCTCTCCGTTGTTTCTGCCCTTTCACAAGGCAGCTGTAAACCTACACTAACCTTTACACATGACTCCTCTGTACGGCAGCGACGCATAACCACTTTGCTCCGACAGCCGAGCAACACACACAGACGTTAAGACGGCTGACGCTGTTTATCCTCAGAGAGAATAGTATGAATTAGATAAATGATGAGTTAGTCTGTGCAGCCAGAGCCCGAGATGAATCTCCAGCGTCCGTCTGCATCGGTGAGACGCTGTGCAGATGCGGAGGAGCGGCGACTCATCTCAGGTCTCCAGTCCCTCAGATGCAAGGGTTGGTTCACTATGTGTAAAAAATAGATTAAAGGAAAATCTACATAACAAAAGCTGAGTGTGACATTACAACAGAAATCTGCTGCGGCATTATTTAGGAGGCTCAGAAGGGCACAAAACAAGAGGATCATTGCAATGATGAACGTTACAGTAATACTTCATTACTGAGCTTGTATAGTAAATATATAGGGATATATAGGGAAACGGACAGCACACATTTCTCAAATGGGTTTGTGTCTCGGGCTGCAAATGACAGCTGATGAATCTGTTCGTCTTTCACTCACTCCATCCCCACATCTACCCTGATATCTTCTTCTTCTTCCTCCTCTCCCTTCCCCCATCTGCCATCCCTCAGCCTCGTATTAATCACATTCTCCCCTCCCTGGCTGCAGGGGTCCTTCGCAGCAGGAGAGGAGTCCGATTCAGAAGAAGAGCGAGAGATGAAGAGAGCGAGAGATGCCTGATGGAGTTCTCTGAAAGGTTTTTAAATGGTGGCTTTTGGGGTTGAGGAGGGGGAGACTAGACGGACACGGAGCGAACAAAAGAGGCAGAGAGAGGGAAGCGAATGGAGGTTGAATGGTAAATTGGGAGAGTCTAATGGAGGGGAACCGGTGAAGGAAGTAGAGAGCAGGGGTTGCTGTAGAAAATGAAAAATCATCCACTTTAGACCTCCAAGACACACTGCAGTGGTTTCCAGGCTTTTTCTTCTTAGAATGCATATTCTAAAAACTTAGGCAGGAGGAAAATTGCTTAAGACTGGTATAAAGTAACTTTAACACGAGCGTTGTAAACCTTTTCAGCGCAGCAAGGGAAGCTACAGGATCAGGTCATTTGTTTTGTGTTGGTGGTTGAAGGCCCATTCTTCACTTTGAGACAGTATACAGTGTAACCCCCCTTAAATAGATGCAAACAATGTCTGTGGGGGTTGCAGACAATTCACTGCAGTTTATATCTGCCAGTGGGTCAGACTAGCTGGATAGCATTAAAAGCTGGAATGAGTTAACGCCTTAAAGTTCAAGGCCAATGCATGCCAAATGATTTACAGGAAAAGTGGGTTTAATTAATAGAAGCTATTACCACCAATGGCGTAAGCAAGAGGGCCTCAGTCACGTTAATCATGGTTTCAACTCTGTGCTGCTTTGCTCTAAAGTCTAAACATTGTAGTTGCTATAAATAAACAGAGGGGCAAATTTACAAAAGGATTTTCGAGCTTTTGCAGCTACCAAACATACAAAAATAGGACAAAAAAGGAAATTGGGTGAACAAAGAGGGTTAAATACACCGCCAATGAGCCAAAACACAGTCCAATTCTCAAAGATCAGCGCTGAGAGCCACACATGGGGTCAGTTTTGAACCCGACTGAACCAACACCAAGTCCCTGAAGCAGCACGGCCCATAAGTCCAGCCCCCCCTGCAGCGGTTTACCACGGGCGCCATCGCCCGCCAAGGCCACGAGCCACGAACATCACGGACCACCGACGGTGAATCCGGTTCTCACCTGCAGTTCCTGCTACAGTTCTCCTCCGTGATCCCGTCTTCATCCTCGCCCCAAATGTCCACAGCAGAGAAAATCAGCACCACCAGGACGGCGAAGCAGCACACCAAGGCAAAGATCACAATGCACTTCTGCTGAGACTGCAAAAGAAGGAGAGCAGGGGGACAACATTGATTTGCAAGGTGTGTCTTTTACTCTTCATCACTACTGTAAAAACAAGGCCAGAGAGCCCGGACGTTGGCTCCCATTAGCTGACACAACTCCCGATTTAATGCACAGCTCAGCAGGTCATAACGAGGCTTAGAGGGGAATTCAACCCGAACATGTAAGACGTTTAGGCTTTTATATAAAGAAGATACGGCAGAAGAGAGTAGAAAGACAAAGAAAGCGATCGATACAGAGACATCAGATATTTGGATAAAGACCAAATGCTCCCATATGGTTGAGAGGGAAGAAAGGGTGGGACTGTTATACGAAGGGAGTGAGGATGTGAAGACAAAATTAAACTGGTTAGAATGTATGTGCGTTTAATTTGACACGTTTCCTCTGTTGAGCCACACGTGAATATAGAACAGATGGGTTTTCAAACAAGCCCGTGTTCTGGAAATTACATTTGAGCACAGCTAATTTATTTTGTCTAATAAGTTTTGAAGGCGACGTAATTGCTGCTTGCAACAATTTGCAAATCAAGACAGTGTTGTATTATTGCACCACACACACAAACACATGTGAGACACTTTGGGAAGGCCGTGGTTTTAAATATCTATGAAGTAAACAAGTTTTCGTCTTAGCGTTGACCTTATGGTTATTTAACCAAGACCACAATCTGTCTCCCAACATACAAACATTAATAATGCTGCAGTCATTAAGTGGATTGAGGGGAAAACAACTGAAAGATGTGGTCAAATAGCGTTTTTCAAATGTGTATCATGATCTATCATTATCATGTAATTGTGGAAGTATTATTTTCTCAACATTCATTTGACTCTTTTATCAACCCTGGACTCAAAGTGAGGTGCACAGTGTATTTTCACTCATGCTTTGAGTATAGATTTGAGAATCACTAGTTATCCTTGAAGACAGCGGGTCATTAACACAGTGTGATTGTCCTCGGAGACACATCTCATATCGCACCCATCGACCTCTGAGAGCCACACGCAGAGCTCCGCTTGTTTATCGTCACTGAAGACATCCGTGACTGTTGGTTCCCATGGGGTGATTTAATTGATCGAGCAGCCAGTCAATGGAGCGTCCCCAGTGGACCATGGAGACAATGTCAGAGACATTAAGCTTTCACACTCTCATCCTCACAACCATCAGCTCGACACGGGAATAGTGTTTCCTATTCATTGGTGTGCGTTACATGTGCAGCCTGATCCACCAACTCTGTCTCTCTCCATCTTCTGTGTCTCATCCTGGAGGCAAAAGGGCAACAACGGCACAAAGGTTAAAGGCCTGACCTCCCGACCTCAAATCAACTGGTTCACACACCTGATTGGAAAAAAATCCAACTGAAGGAAGAAAACCCCCCCAGAAACATTCATTTCTACAGGACATCGTAGAGGCAAAGGCACGGAAGAGAAGCTGCCTCAGCAAACCCTCGCAGGCTAAACGCAGGTCCAATCAGATCTGTCACTCATCTGTCCGACTTTATGACGGACACAAAAGCTGAAACACACGAAGGTCCACGTGCAGGATAGAACCAAGCGGAGGGAGCGTCTCCTATTCCCTGTGTGTGTCTCCCAGCCGCTGCATTGTGATCCGAAGTGTATCACTATGGACTTTATTACCTCACACTGGTGCACAGCTGAGGATCAACGCACCTGCAGACGCAGGATGTAGTCTGCCTCACAGCCGTAGTATTAGTACAGCAGCTTATTGTTTGAATCCAGGTGGAAATCTCAAATCTCACGACCGCGACACATGGAGGTTAAAATGTCTGCATGGCTGGATGCCATACGGGGACTTTCTTTTGGACTTTGGGTGAATGCATGCTTTAAAGCTGCATCTAATGAGCTTTTGTGCATTTCAAGTAATTACCAAAAGCTCTCGACGTGGCTACTCATGATGGCGGGTCGTAGCTAACGCCGCTATGAAGGGCCAACTGCTGCTTCTACGATAAAGCTCTTGTTCTGCTCTTGTTATCGGTGCCTCTGAGAGGCGCTTTGGCGGTTTAATTACAACAGCGCATGCTTTGAAATTGTCTTCTACGAGAAGCAAAAATAGTCGCAGGAGGGTTTCCGAAAAAAAAAAGGGTGATAAATAAAACGATTCAGTGAGACTTCTAGACGTCTGTTTTAAAAAGCTTCCCAAAGTCCATCTAATAATGTCTGTGCAAGGTGGATGGCACGGTGCCACACACACACACACACACACACAAAACAATACACTGTTTCTGCCTCACACAGACAGGAGTGAAAGCCAGACCAGAGGACGTTTGTATCCTCAGATGAGAGGAACTTCTAAACCGAGGCCCTCTCTGTCAAACCTCTCTCACACACACACACAAACATACACACACACACTTTTCAAATTGAGAATTACTTGATGATTTTGGTTAAACATTAGGAAAGAAAAGTAGGGACTAGTTGAAGATGTAAAGACGGCAAAGAGTTATTAAAACTAAACTTCAGACTTCCACACCAGTCCAAGCAAACTGTGCAACATCCAGCTCTGAACTCAGGGGCAGATGATCCCACAACATCATTCACCATCACTGATTGGTCGTCCTCGCGTTACTTTCTGGGTCTGGTCTCTTATTTAATGTGACTGCACCTTTTCAATGTGTAATAGATAGAAAATATTAATAATATTAACTTCCCTGATATAGCGGCTTCTAGTGTTTGCATCTCACATGCAGGTATAGTCCATAGCTCGAGTGTCTGTGTCTATTTATGCAGCTTTTGGATGCCGGCGATGCAGAATGAGTGACAGAAAGAGAGCAACATCAGACAGAGTCACGACATGCTGTCCGTGGAAGCGCTGAGCGGGCAACTTTCTCTGTGCGTGTGTCTAAAAGCTTGAAGCAAAATGCTTCGAACGCGGCTTAATTCCAATAAAATGTTGGTCTTCCTCTGACCTGCCATCTCTCTTCAGCTCTGTCACGAGTTGTGTCCGATTTCACAAAGGCACTTTACTGACACGATCACACGTGTTTAAAAGATTCTAGAGGTTCTAGACGGATCAACTACAAACTACAACGCAGATAAATGGTTTAGGAAGTGTAATGGGACTGCTATGTTGACACAATTAGAAAGTATAAACTGTTAGGATCGGAGCAAAGCTGGGATGTGTGTGTGTGTGTGTGTGCTGGAAGCAGTTTGCTATTGCTATTAGCGTTAGCGCTCTCTGTGCTGAAATGCGTTGGAAATAGAGGAAAACCTTAGAGGCAGCGTGACTTGCTGCTGAGGAGAATAATAACTTGAATAAATACTGTGGAGGCAGACCGAAGTGCGTCAAAGTGTATTAAGAAATGACAGCGTGCCGCCGCAGCCCGCCGCCCTTTTCGAGGAGCCGCTCGCTCCCGCCTGAAGTGACGTGGAGTTCGCCTCTCCAGAGAGAGCAGCAGCTCTTAGTTGATCTCGCCGACAGTCTGCTCGGGGGCCTCCTGAGTGAACGCAGGGCTCCGAGTGTTCCCGCCGGCCGGATGAGCCGTCAAAACAGATCTGCGCTCACTCAAGCGCGATCCCGAAAAAGCAAAGGGACGTTCCGTGACAACGGGGCCGCGTCTCCACGGAGAGAGCCGCGACCATTGAGAGCCTCTCTGGCCCGGGTCATGAAGGGAGTAGTTGACCAGGCCGGGCAAAGTCCTGCACATTTTTTAGAGCCTGTTTCTATGAGAAATAAACGTCCCATTGACTTTGGATTGCAGGGTGCAGAAGGCGGCTGGCTGAGGGCCCTTTTTCCATCTCTGGTTCTGTTTAAAAAGTGAACGATCAGCTGAGCTTGACGCCACTGGTCAAATAAAAGAAAGCGATGGATGACCAGATTCTTGGCGCCCGATGAGACGTCTTTGAAGATATTTCCACTATCGGTCGTCTGTTTGACAGCTCTGTTGCGGCTCGTGCATTTGTGGATCTGCTCAGTTTCGTGTCGATTGTGGAACAGAAACTCTAAGTAGAAAGCTTAGTGGTCATAAATACGCACTGGTGTACATCAGAATCGCCCAGGTGTGATTCTATGGAAGGTCATCTCGAGGGCGGTGGCAGCTTCTGTACTTCTGAAAAACATGCTTATTTCCTTTTCTTTTAAAAGTTAGATGAGAATATTAATGGCAACAATACCTGTGTCAGAATGTTATGATCCCAGATTTTTTTTTCTTCTTCCACTTATTAACTTCAATTTAAACACTGTCTTCATATTTTGCTCCTTTTTTTCTTCTGGCAAGCTCACATGTGATTTTAACATGCAAGGCATGAAAAATAATTATTGGAATTTTGTCGTGGATAAAAAGTAGATTTTCAACGGATGCTCCGATGTTCGAAGGCTGGTTGTTCCTTCTCTTTAAAGTCATTTTAGAATTCACTCGCGGTAAATGTGAAGAAAAGTTAACAGTCCTCCATCGTTATTCACTTATCGGCCTCCGACCAGTTTAATAAAAAGCTTTTTGCTTAACACAACAACTGTCTGTTTCACTTTTAGTCTGAACTCACACAGCATTATCATCATTATTATTGAATCATCAGTGCAGGAACACCATCCATCTTCAAGACAGGTGCACCTACAGGAAGAATTACACAAAATCCCTCCTCCGCTTTACTGGCACAAACTATACAACATCCCGTCATATTCACTAATTCTCAGACAAGAATCCCACCATGACTGTTTCTGTTCTCTCTGCCAATGTTCTTGTTTCTAAGGTGGCTCATGATGCTGCGAATGATCTCATTTGGAGTCATAAATGTGTGTGTGTGTGTGTGTGTGTGTGTGTGTCACATCTCAGCAGCACCTCTTTTCATTAAACTGTTGTACGATAAGCTGCTGGCAGAGATGAACTCCGATACTGTTCACATCTCTGTCAAGTGGTTTGGCTCTCATGAGGTCCTTGAAGGTTGAATGTTGAAGGAAAGACACCGTTTCCGCAGTGTTACATACCAGTAAGCGTGTTCACCAGCTGCCAATTCGCTGCGTGCTTCATGTT